GTGGACAAATGTCTGGTGTTATCATAAGCACCTTTAATCCGGCCTGGAAACAAATCAGCAACAAGTGTATAACGATCTCTGGCAGGCAAGCAGCCTGATAAGAAGCAAGGACTCTCCGTCAGTTTTATGCAAGTTTATTTACAAGAAAAAACACATCCAGAGCATGGCTTCCCGCCTGCTCCCATTAACAGTAGTTAGTTGAACTGTTTGAATCACCATTCCTCCCCCAACAGGAAGAACACCAAAATCCCGCCTTTCTTCTCCTTCCCTTCCGTTGTTCTCTGAGCTTCACCAGTCTCCTAGTACGGGGACTGAACAGCTGGCCTGCCTCCTCCCCACTCCCAGAAGACACAGCCTCAGACTCTGGCTTATCTGCTGGTTGCCTTGCAACACTCTGGCCGCTTTCCAACTCTTCCTCTCCTTGCATCTTCCCTGGGAAGGAGGGGGCTGAGCTGCCCTTTCTAGACTCTGACAGCCAGCTCTCATCTGCAGAGTTGGCCCTTTGCTCGCTTAGTTCAGTTTCTGAAGCGGACTCTTCTGCTGCACTCTGGGGGGCCACGTTCCTCACACAGTGCTACTGTTTGTTTTTAAACAGGGGTCACAGAAGCGCTACGCAGAACCCCAGGCAGTAACCCGGCTAAATTTTGAACCCAAATAAAGTTACCTCCCTTGTATAATTGTCTCTAGATTGTAAGCCTACAAGGGCAAAAGCCTGTCTTTACTTGGCTGTAGCAGGGGGACAGGTCAGACACCATTGCCCAATCCATTGGCCCAGCTGGAGTTACTTAGAATCATAGAGAGTTGGAAGGGACCCCGAGGGTCATCTAGTCCAACGCCCTGCAAGGCAGGAATCTCAACAAAAGCATCCCTAACAGGTAGCCATCCAACCTCTGCTTGAAAACCTCCAAGGAAGGAGAGCCCATCAACTTCCAACAGATTCCAAGGAGCCTGTTCCACAGTCAAACAGCTCTTATTTAGGCCAACTTCCTCTTCCACACTGGACATTCCACCTGGCCATTAGACAGCAATATAATTTTATCACTTGTTCTCTTGTAGTCCGTCTCTCTCCCCACACAAAAAAAACCCTTTTCCTTTGTGGTTCATGTCCTAGAAAACTTTGTGCTAGGGATGGGGAGCATCTGGTGCCCCCCAGGTGCTGTTATCTAACCCCCATCAGGCTCATCCAGCGTGGCCAGTGGCCAATGGCCAGGGATGCTGGGGTTGGTGGTGCCCCACCTTCCTGAGTGCCACAGGTTAGCTTTTAGGTGCTTAACAACAAAATGAGCCACAGCAATCATTTCACAGCACTTTACAGAATAGAAGAAGAGAAAGAGTTTGGATTTGATATCCCGCTTTATCACTACCTGAAGGAGTCTCAAAGCAGCTAACATTCTCCTTTCCCTACCCCCCCCCCAACAAACACTCTGTGAGGTGAGTGGGGCTGAGAGACTTCACAGAAGTGTGACCAGCCCAAGGTCACCCAGCAGCCGCATGTGGAGGAGCAGGGAAGCAAACCTGGTTCCCCAGATTACGAGTCCACCGCTCTGAACCACTACACCACACTGGCTCTCCTAATAACCTAGAACATCACAACAGCTTTGCTGGATCAGGCCAGTGGCCTGTCTAGTCCAGCATCCTGTTTTCACGGGGACCACACAGATGTCTGTGGGAAACTGGCAAGCTTCTTCCAGCAACTGTTATTATTATGATCATTTGTTTTTCTATTGCATTTATACCCCACCCTTCTTCAAGGAGCGATGAAGGCAGGAAGAGCCATCGTGGCTAGTAGCCATTCAAAGCCTCCTCCTCTGTGAATTGGTTTAATTCTCTTTAGAAGCTGCTCTAATCCTCTTTTAAAGCAAGTTTGACAGTTTAGCTATGCACTGCATGAAGAAGTATTTTCGTTTATCTGCCCAGAAAGAAAGGGGGGAAATGAAAACGCATCTCCCTTGCTGAAGGAACTTACCATTTAGACCACATATTTAAAGCACCGTGATACAGTGGTACCTCAGGTTAAGAACTTAATTCGTTCTGGAGTTCCATTCTTAACCTGAAACTGTTCTTAACTTGAGGTACCACTTTGGCTAATGGGACCTCCCACTGCCACTGTGTTGGCGCAATTTCTGTTCTTTTATTTCTTTTTGAAAATCAATAAACAAATTTTATTACGGTAGAAACCGTTGCAAAAAAAAATAATCCAAATGTAAAAATATGGAACGCTTCACGAATTTGCGTGTCATCCTTGCGCAGGGGCCATGCTAATCTTCTCTGTATCGTTCCAATTTTAGTATATGTGCTGCCGAAGCGAGCACCGCAATTTCTGTTCTCATCCTGAAGCAAAGTTCTTATCCTGAGGTACTATTTCTGGGTTAGTGGAGTCTGTAACCTGAAGTATATGTAACCTGAAACGTCCGTAAGCCGAAGTACCACTGTACTCCTTTAAACAGTCATGGCTTCCCCAAAAGAATTCTGGGTGATTAGTTTGTTAAGGGTGCTGAGAGGTGTGAGGATATTCTGCCCCCTTCCCCTCAAAGAGCTAAAATTCTCAGAGTTCCCTGAGAACAGGAATTGATTGTTACACAACTCTGCGAACTGTAGCTCCCTGAGGGGGCTCTCACCACCCTTAATAACTACAGCTCCCAGAATTCTTTGGGAGAAGCAATGACAATTTAAAGTGGTATCATAGTGCTTTAAATATGTGGTGTGGATGTAGCGTAAATTTCTACAATTTTGGAGACAGGGAAGAAAGAACAAACCAAGGAAGGGCAAAGAGATTAGTGTTACCCCCTCCCCTCGCACCCTGATTACAGTTCACCAAAGTGGGAATGATTTATAAACGTTTCCGAGCACAATTCAAAGTGCTGGTGCTGACCTTTAAAGCCCTAAAAAGCCTCGGTCCAGTATCCCTGAAGGAGCATCTCCACCCCCATCATTCAGCCCGGAGGTCCTCCTCCGAGGGCCTTCTGGCGGTTCCCTCACCACGAGAAGCAAAGCTACAGGGAACCAGGCAGAAGAGGGCCTTCTCAGTAGTGGCACCCGCCCTGTGGAACGCCCTCCCACCAGATGTCAAAGAGAAAAACTACTACCAGATTTTTAGATGACACCTGAAGGCAGCCCTGTTTAAGGAAGCTTTTAATGTTTGATGCATTACTGTATTTTAATATTGTGTTGGAAGCTGCCCAGAGTGGCTGGGGAAACCCAGCCAGATGGGTGGGGTATAAATAAATTATTATTATTATTATTATTATTTAGATCAGGTCATCTAGTCCAGCATCCTGTGGCGAACCAGATGCATAGAGGAAAACCATGGCTGGGGCATGGGCGCAACAATGCTCCCATCCTTCCTAAACTGGCATTCAGGGGCACTGTGGCTCTGATCCTGGAGGATCAGGTACAGACCTCCACAGCTTTCACCAACTATTAGTCTGTAATCCCTCTCAGGGCAGAGACCTGTTCTCTTGAACTCAGGAAAGCACAAATGGGGAATAGGTGGCCTTCCACGTCCACCAGCCCCGGTCCGCACCACCAACAGTCAGAGATGATGGCAGTTGCAGTTCCATGCACCACCCAGGGTGGAAGGGGAAGGCTGCCGTGTGCACAGGGTCCTGTTCCAGGTTGGAGGAAACTTGCAAGGTCAGTGTGGTGCGGCAGTCAAGTGTCAAACTAGGACCTGGGAGACAGGGGTTCGAATCCCCCACTCGGCCATGAAGATCCTTGGCAGTGACCCTGGGGGCCAGTCGCTGCCTCTCAGTGTAATCTACCTGCCAGGGTTGTTGTGGGGATGGATGGGGGCTGTGCGGGGGAAACCATGTACACCACTTTGTGCTCCCTGTGGGAAAAATGCAACAAATAAATAAATCTAAGATAAGCAACACATAAACAACTTCGTATTTCCCCCCCCCCCATATGACCCTGCCCATGTTCTGAGATCTTGCGGGGAGGTCTTTCTCTCAGGCCTGCCACCCTTATCGGCATGCTTGGTGGGAACGTGAGACAGGGCCTTTTTGGTGGTGGCAGCTCCTATGCAGCTTTGGAACTACCTGTCTAGAGAAGCTAGACTGGCTCCCTCCTTGCATTCCTTACATCAGCAGGCGAAGGCCTTCTTGTTCCAGCAGGCTTTTGGGAACTGGCTGTTGTTACTGAAAGGGCTGGTGCTGTTTTTATTTTAATTGTATGATTTTTATAAATTCTATATATGTAGGTAGTTTTAATTCTCTTAATGTTCAATGGTTGTTTAACAATACTTTCCGTATGTGTTTAGTGGTTCTTGTTTTTATCTGTAAGCTGCCTTGTGTCCAGATGGGGGAAAGGCGGGATATAAATAGATAAAATAATAATAACAATTGGCCATTTAACAGCACAAGCAACACTGTTAATAACTAACTGCTATGCCACAGGCATTGTTTTTAAATCTCCACAATGTCTGAGCTATAGCTGTTACTATAGTAATAATAATAAAGTGGACTTTGGAGGGTGGGAGTTTAATAATAATAATAATAATAATTTTATTAAACCGATTAGTCTCCAAGCGACTTACAGCAAATATTACCTACCTACCAGGACATGCGCAACACAGTACCACAGTACAAGGAAGGGGAAAGGGTTGTGTGTCATGCATGAATATATATAACCATAAAAATATGTGTAAGCCATAAAAATAATAACAAGCAACATTAACTAACACCCCTCCTTCTTTGCCCAATGGAGCAGCAAAGCAACCCCCCCCCCAAAAAAACACACACCCCAACACACAAAATAAACCAAGCAGGATCGGGCATGCCTCTGAGCTGCCTGCCTCCGCCCTCGCCGCCTGCAGGAGGTCTCCTTTCCCGCCCCGGGAGGTCCCGTGGCGCGCCCGCCTCCTTCCTCCCTTTCTCCCCCGTCGCCTCCATTCCCGGTGCCCGCAGCCGCGGCCTCGCTTCAGCTCCGCCCCAACGTACCGCATCACTCGGGAAGAGGGAAGCGCCGGGAGGAGCTTCCTCCTCCTCCTCGGCGCCCTTGTCTTGGGCGAGCCGAGCGCTGCGCTCCCGGCTCCTGCCTCCTGCTCTTTGCTGCTGCGGCGGCGGCGGCTGCTGGCGCGCGCGCGCGCGCGGCAGGGACTCGCCGTCGGGGCGGCCGGGCGATGCTCCTGCAAGATGCCGGTCAAGCTGAAGAACCGCTACAACCTGGTGGACGATGCTGGAGACTCGCGGGTGCCGCTGCACAACGAGGAAGCCTTCCAGCACGGGATCCACTTCCAGGCCAAGGTGAGCCGGGGGTTTGTGGCAGGCGCCTTTGCGCGCCTTTACGCACGGGATCCCGCGCTGCCACCGCTGCTTCCTCCAGGCCGGAGGTCCCGTCCCACCGCCCCACCCCGTCTGGCGACAGCCCAGCCAGGTCCTCTCCAGTACCCGCAGCCGTGGGGCGCGGATTGTCACCTCCAAAGAAAGAGGTCTGCCGGTGCATGTGCAGAGTGCTTTTCAAGACACGCTTTGGTTCCCCGGCAAGCAGCTCTCCTCCTCCTCCTCCTCCTCCTTCGGCGTGTTTGACTAGGAAGCTGCCGTGATTTCCCCGGTCAAAGCCGTAACTCGGAGCGCTGAGGAAAAGGGGTTCCCAGAACATGTGCAGAGCTTTTGGCTCGCGTTGGGCAGCGAACCCCTTGCATGTTTACAGACGCCTACCGCCTTTGCTCCCAGTAGCAAGAGTGCTTCAGGTTGTAGCCTTTGATCCAACACCTAAGAAGGCAGGAATCTCACAGGTGCAGCTTTCCCCCCATCATTCCCAGGGAGTGGGAATAATTCCTTGTTTAAGATTTCTGCCTCTGGTAGAAGTTGTTACAGGTACAGAAGTCCTGTAAGAAGAGAGAGGCGATAACTCTTCCCTTCTCCTTTTATTTGGTAGTGGAGAATGCAGCAATTTCATGTGCCTGTGAGGTGGGGGGGTGCGCGCCTGCCCCTAGGCACACTGTCCTCACCTGGGCATCCAAGTCCACTCAGCCTCTGACCATGTTTCAGCCTCCAAGGCAGCCTGCAGGCCTTGTGCAGTGGCAGGCATGTGTCAGACAAGTGCTGGGGCTCAAACCAACCTGAAAATGTGCGCCCCCTCCCCAAGCTCAGACTCCCTACTCCTAGCACTTAGGGAAGGGGGCTAGGTTCCCACCTAGGTGGCCATAGTCATAGCCCCTAAAATGGAGCCTCCATGTGCAGGGACAGTGTGCCCTCTGGGAACATGGCTTGCAGGTTAACAACCTTCCTGGGGTCATCCAGCTGGCTGCTTTTGCGGACAGAGTGCTGGACCAGAAGGACCTTTGGTCTGATCTGGCAGATCTCTCTGTTGCCTTATAGCTAAATAGAACCTCTGTGTGTAGCTGCAGTCTGCTTCTGTATGCTGGTTACTGGGAGCAGCATCTGCAAAGAGCGGGGGAGAGAGTACGCCCTTTATTCTCTGCTTGTGGAAATCCCTCAAAACGTGCAACTTCCCGTTGCTTAAATTGCGGTGCTGATTGAGATGGATGTTTGGCCCCATTGCAGGAAGGTTGCACCGCTGTACATGGTCCGAGCCCCTGTTCCTAAGCCAGACTGGAGAGCAGCAGTCCCAGGGGAAGGAGTGTGAGTGATTCCTCGCTTGTTGCATTCCGGGGGGGGGGGCTCCTTACACAGGTAGCAAGAAGGTAGATTAGGATCTCCTGGGAGATACTTGGGTAACTTGGCAGCAGTAGGTGCTCTTATTACTAACTTCTGAATGCTTACCAGTTGCTGGAGGCCACAGGAAGGCAAGTGATGCTTTTGGGCTCAGATCCTGCTTGCCAATGGGACATCTGGGTGGCCACTGAGAGAAGAGTGGCCTGATCCAGCAGGCTTGTCTTATATTCTTATATGCTGTTTTAAAAGAGTTCGTGGCGGCTCTCTTCTATACATTCTTAGCACTCTTTCTCTCTCTTTTGTATTTTGGCTGCTTTGTTTTAATTTGTGTAAGCCACTTTCAGTCCCAGCCTGGGGGGGAAAGCGGGATATAAATAAATATAATTACAATAATAGATTTACAGGGCTACCTGCCTCCCAGCTGCCTGACAATAGCATGGGGGTGTGCCTTATACAGAATCGGACCAACCACCGCCTATCTGGCTCAGCGGTGTCCACACTGACAGGCAACAGTAGTGGCTTTTACAGTTTTGTCGATGAGAGACATTCCCAGCCTAACCTGGAGAGGTAGTGGACCTTCTGCACGCAAGACAGGTGCTCTACCACTGATCCACTGTTAACCATGTGCTAAGGTAGGTTGCGCTGTGGCTAGGACTTGCCGATCAGAAGGTCGGTGGTTCGAATCCCCACGACGGGGTGAGCTCCCGTTGCTCGGTCCCTGCTCCTGCCAACCTAGCAGTTCGAAAGCACGTCAAAGTGCAAGTAGATAAATAGGTACCACTCTGGCGGGAAGGTAAACAGCATTTCCGTGTCCTGCTCTGGTTCGCCAGAAGCGGCTTAGTCATGCTGGCCACACGACCTGGAAGCTGTACGCCGGCTCCCTCGGCCAATAAAGTGAGATGAGCGCCACAACCCCAGAGTCAGCCACGACTGGACCTAATGGTCAGGGGTCCCTTTACCTTTAAGGTAGGTTGCCAGAAAAGGCTTCTTGAGCTGGTGGGGCATCAGGAGCGGGGGATCATAGGTATAGATTTGACAGTGGTTTCTGGTGTGGTCCTAGGTCCCAGACTATGCTCAGAGAGTTACATTTGGTAGTCCAGAATCCTGTTCTCATAGTGACCAACCATATGCTCCTGTGGGAAACCCACAAGCAAGATTAGAGGCAAGAACAGCCCTTTCCCCTCCTGTGGGTCCCAGAAACTGGGATTCAAAAGCGTTGCTGCAGAGCTGAGATGGCTATCCCTCTCCTTCTCCATGAATCCGTGTAAGAGCATCAGCAAGTACAGCTGACCTGCAGATCTTTCCAGCCAAATTTAAAAGGACTCCGGCTTTTATTCTTGTAGTGTTTGGAACTGGCTGTTCCCACACCCTGCAGTCAAAATGCGTTTATCCCAAAAGATCTGCGATGTCATTTACAGAGGGAAAAACAAAGTCAAGAGAGTCGGGCCAACCAATTTCTTTTTAATTACGTCCTAATCAGATGGAGCCAAGGAAGTTTATTCAGGGAGTGAAGGGGCGCAAATTCAAGAGGTCATAACGGTTGTATGATCTTGTTCCATATAAACTGGCTTATCCTGCTCAGTATGGTTTCATATTCAAAATTAATCTTCTCTGGTTTTCAGAGTTTAAATCTGTTGGGCATTTTCCCTGCAGGAATCCTTAGGAACCTGCTCTGGGGTGGTGGTGGTGGGGAAAACTTCCTCACTCCATGATCCAGTCTTCAGAAGTTGCCTTGATACTCAGTCAGACCCTTGGTCCATCCAGCCCAGTATCTGACAAGCAGCAGTTCTCCCTAGTCTCTACTTGGAGATTCCAAGGAATGAGTCTGGGAACTTTTGCTTGCAAATCTGGTGCTCGTGCTATTGAGGCTCTGCCCCTTCTTCTCCATGTCTGAATTGAGGCTTGTGTGATGGTTGTGTGCTGCCACATGTGTCCTATGAATAGCTCTGTGGGTCTTGAAATCTGGGGGAAGAATATGCAGGCTGTGTTGCTGACACAGAATTCTTCATCAAGCAGAGCATAAGGGGAACGGATTCTTTTTAGACCTAGAGAATGAAGGTTTCCATGGCAAAATTTAAGAACTGTAATGTGAAAATTTGCATTTGAAGTGGCATTTAAGTGATGCCAGCATTTAGGTCCCAGCTTTATAGAGGACTGAAAACAAAGTCTAATATTCCTTGGAGCCTCTAATCATGTTCTTGCCTGCCTGGGCAGCCCGTTGCCGATACCAGCTTGGTATCAAAATCCCATTTGCGTCTGAAAATAATGCAAGCTTCCTGAAGGGACACATGGAATTTGATTTGACCGTTTGACATGTATTTAGTCCGTCTTCCAGTGTAGGTGGTGCAGAGAGAACCAAAATCAGGATGTGCTTACCTTGTGCAAAAGTAATTTGTAAATGCTTGCCAGTTGTGGCAGGGGTGAGCTCCAAGAGGGTCTTACGGTCTTGACCTCTCTTATGGGACCATCGTTCCATTAAAGGCGCTCTGGGTGGCAGCAGGATGGTGGGAGGAGCTGTGTGAAGACTGACCTTCGCAGACAATAATGGGTGTTTTGGAGGGCGGGAGTGGGGCTGGGGGAGAGAGATGCTTTAGATGCCGGACACTGTCATCTGCCCCCTCCCCCTTCTCAAGCTGTGCCACTGCTTTCCCCCTTTTTAAAATAGCCAGCTCCCCTCCCTGGCTGGGAATCTTTCCTTGCCAAACCCTCTCTGTCTTTGTTCCCAAAACCACAATAAATCCTAAGATTGCAGTCCTAGAACCCAGTTGCTAGATAGTTTTAAGCCCTATGGGATTGAGCCAAGCTGGTTTCTGAGCAAAACCATGCCAAGTATGTAACGTAGAGAGTGGTGTTTTCTGAAGGAGTTTGAGCCCAGAAGCACATTAGCACTTTTAGAAAATATCTGAAAAAATGGGAAAGGTGCAAAGGAACGTCTTGTTGTTTTCAGAGGGTGGACGGGCTTTTAAAATGGTAGTAGTAATAATATTATTATTAATAACAATGTGTGGTTTATCAGTCTGTTATTAACAATGGTCTCATGCTTTTAAAGGAATGCAGATGTTTATCTTCAGATTTCCTTATATCTTGCAAGCTTCCTCAAGCCTGGAATTAACTATCAGAGTGCCTTGGTATTTAATAAAGATTCCCCGAACAGAACTTGTGGTGAAGCACAAGAATAGGGTAAAGAAAGCCAAGGTCATCCGTTCTTCATAGGAGAGGGAGATTATATAGTCTTGGGAAAACATTGGTCCCTCTCATTGTTTGAGTAGTGATATTCTGATGGACAATCGTGAGAATGATCAGCACCTGACGGGGGGGGGGGGACAGTGATTTCAGTACATCAATTTCCCCCTTATTATTCAGGGTTATTGGCTTTTGTTGTTATTACAGTGGTACCTCAGGTTAAGTACTTAATTCGTTCCAGAGATCCGTTCTTAACCTGAAACTGTTCTTAACCTGAAGCACCACTTTAGCTAATGGGGCCTCTTGCTGCCGCTTCGCCGCCGGAGCCCGATTTCTGTTCTCATCCTGAAGCAAAGTTCTTAACCTGAAGCACTATTTCTGAGTTATCAGAGTCTGTAACCTGAAGCATATGTAACCTGAAGCGTATGTAACCTGAGGTGCCACTGTATTATGTTATGTATTTTGTGTTTTTATTTTGTAATTTATGCTGCAAATGTGATCTTCAGATGAAGGGTGGTATGAAAATTTAATAAATATAAAATAATAATAATAATAATAATAATAATAATAATAAATAAATAATAATAATAGTCATAAATTAATTAATGAAGAAGAAAAAGAAGCAGACCCTCATTACTGCAGATTGCAGTCTTCTAGGGGACAGAGCCCTGTGCTTGTTTTGCTTTGTGGTTTGACATTCTTACACATCAGGCAGAGAGCACTGGCTGTTCATCATTTTTATGAAGGAAATATGTTTCACAGTTTCATGGGGATGGGGGTGTTACAGCTTTGCTTTGGACTGCAGACCCTAAAGTGCCAAAGGTGTCTAGGAGTCTGGTCTCCGTGAAATAAGACAGGTTGCAGAGTGCCACAAAGACCCCTGAGACCCCAATAGAGCTGGAAAGGGAAACAGGGCCTGGAAGCATCTGGGGGTCCTGATCCTGCCTACCTCGCAAGGCTGTTGTGAGGTTTAAATGAGGAAGTGGGAAGCCATATACGCTACCTTGAGCTTCTTGGAAAAAAGGAGGGCTATAAATGCAAACACCACCACCAACAACACAGGTGAAACTCAAAAAATTAGAATATCGTGGAAAAGTTCATTTATTTCACTAATTCAGCTTGAAAGGTGAAACTAATACAGTGGTACCTCAAGTTATGTACTTAATTCATTCTGGAGGTCTGTTCTTAACCTGAAACTGTTCTTAACCTGGAGCACCACTTTAGCTAATGGGGCCTCCTGCTGCCGCTGCTGCACGATTTCTGTTCTCATCCTGAAGCAAAGTTCTTAACCTGAGGTACTATTTCTGGGTTAGCGGAGTCTGTAACCTGAAGCGTCTGTAACCTGAAGTGTCTGTAACCTGAAGCGTCTGTAACCCGAGGTACCACTGTATATGAGATTGACTCGTGACATGCAAAGCAAGATATGTCAAGCCCTGATTTGTTATCATTGCAATGATCATGGCGTACAGCTTATGAAAACTCCAAATTAACCATCTCAGAAAATTAGAATATTCAAGGAAATCAGCAAAACAAGGATTGCAAATTGAGCAAGATTGGACCTCTGAGAAGTAGAAGCACATCTCGCTTTGCATGTCATGAGTCGATCTCATATATTAGTTTCACCTTTTAAGTTGAATTACTGAAATAAAGGAACGTTTCCACGATATTCTAAATTTTTGAGTTTCACCTGTAAATAACGTTCCCTCCTGCAGCATAAACAGGAGAACAGGTTTGGCAGAGGTTCCCTTCTTGATCTTCTGGATAAGCTGCAGCAACTGTTTCAGCTCCAGCTCCCTTCAGCACCAGCCAGTGTGGTAGTGGCTGGCTAGGAATGGTGGGAGTTGGAGTCCGCCAACATCCAGAGAAGAAGAGGAAGAATAAGAGTTTGGATTTGATATCCTGCTTTATCACTACCCTAAGGAGTCTCAAAGCGGCTAACATTCTCCTTTCCCTTCCTCCCCCACAACAAAGATTCTGTGAGGTGAGTGGGGCTGAGAGACTTCAGAGAAGTGTGACGAGCCCAAGGTCATCCAGCAGCCGCATGTGGAGGAGTGGGGAAGCGAACCCTGTTCACCAGATTACGAGTCCGCCGCTCTTAACCACTACACCACAGAGGGCACTGTATTGCTTCTGTACCTGGCCTGCAGGTGGCCAGTAAAGCAAAAACTGGTGCCCTGGGATTATGTGTTTTGCTCCTGGCATAGGTCCAGTTGCAATCATGAGGAGATTTCTGGGCACCAGGTTGGCGGCCACAGTTTAAAGACCTACCTTGGTCCATAGTTAATTCCATTTCCACTGTGTGTGTTTCTCCTCCTTGCATACTGGGACAAGTGAATTGTTGCAAGAGCAAGATACAGTCAAGCAATACAGTAGCTAAGATCATGTTGTTGTTGTTGTTTAGTTGTGCCCGACTCTTCGTGACCGCATGGACCAGAGCACGCCAGGCACTCCTGTCTTCCACTGCCTCCCGCAGTTTGGTCAAACTCATGCTGGTAGCTTCCAGAACACTGTCCAACCATCTCGTCCTCTGTCGTCCCCTTCTCCTTGTGCCCTCCATCTTTCCCAACATCAGGGTCTTTTCCAGGGAGTCTTCTCTTCTCATGAGGTGGCCAAAGTATTGGAGCCTCAGCTTCACGATCTGTCCTTCCAGTGAGCACTCAGGGCTGATTTCCTTCAGAATGGATCGATTGGATCTTCTTGCAGTCCATGGGACTCTCAAGAGTCTCCTCCAGCACCAGAATTCAAAAGCATCAATTCTTCGGTGATCAGCCTTCTTGATGGTCCAGCTCTCACTTCCATACATCACTACTGGGAAAACCATAGCTTTAACTTATACGGATCTTTGTTGGCAAGGTGATGTCTCTGCTTTTTAAGATGCTGTCCAGGTTTGCCATCGCCTTTCTCCCAAGAAGCAGGCGTCTTTTAATTTCGTGGCTGCTGTCACCATCTGCAATGATCATGGAGCCCAAGAAAGTAAAACCTCTCACTGCCTCCATTTCTTCCCCGTCTATTTGCCAGGAGGTGATGGGACCAGTGGCCATGATCTTAGTTTTTTTGAGATCATAGAGTCGTAGAATTCTTGTGTGGGAAGCAACCCAGGGGATCCTCTAGTCTAATCCCTTGGCCAACCTGGATTTAAGGTGCCATTTGGCACCTCGCTTATATATCTGAATTTATAACACTAATGCCAGCCTCCCCCTTCGTGGCACTTTCTTGAAATCTGAGTGTTCCTATGTGCTCCATCCACTGTTTGCTGGTGTGTCCATGGCAGCCTTTGCCAAGCTGGTGCCCACTAGATGTCTTGGACTCCAGCTCTCATCAGCCCCCAGGTGGGCTTGATGATACATTGACCCCAAATGGCTTTGAGGTCCCCCCAAAAAAAATTTATTTGGAATTGATTGTAAAAATCAAACAAACCAATGGTGACCTCAGAACGGTTTACAGAAAGAGTGAAACAACGGAATTATCAGTAAAAACACGTGAAACAGCTATTTGAAACATTCAGATCTTAATTTAAATAAGTGGTTGAAAAATACTTGGAGTCCTGCAGTGATTTCATGCTCTTTATTGCAGCTTGTAAAATAGTGACTGAATTGCCCCCCAAACCTCAGGCTTTTATATACATTATTTACACTATGAGTCCCGCCTGATTGGCTGATTCTGCTTCCCTCCTGGAGCCTGATTGGTCTTCTCCTGCAGGCCAATCAGTTGTTGCATTCTTGGATCCTACTATCCTAATAGGCTGATTAACTTCCTCCTGGAGCCTGATTGGTCTTCTCCTGCAAGCCAATCCGTTGTTGCATTCTGGGATCCTACCTGCCTATTGTTCTAGGGACCCAAGCTCAGTACATAACAGTGATGAAACTAAAAACCAGATTAAAAGACTTGCCAATGTTCCACATAGCTGGGTAGGCTTAGCAGGTACCACAACCAGCAAGTTGTGCCTTCCTGGTGTCAAGAGGCAGGGAGTTCCAGAGTATGGGCAACACTGCACTAAAAGATCAATTCCGTACAAATTTGGAGCGGGTATTATGTGGCACCCGTAATAATAGTTCCGGTTCCACAGATTGAAGCGGCCGCCTGGGCAGTCTTCTGCAGCCGAGTGCTATATGAATTTTATAAAATAAATAAATAAGTGGCTTCCCTTCTGGCGCTCAGGTACAAGACCATTAAGCAGGATTAGAATCCCCATTTCACCTCTAAGCCCCCCCCCATCCAAGCTCCTTTCCACCACCCTCATGGCTTAAAGAAGGTTGAGCAACTAATCTCCAGTTGAGCAATGTTGGAGTTGGCACCCTCAGTTGCAAGCTTGATGGGTAACACTCGGGTCCAAGTCCGATGGAGTGTGTGTGTGTGTGAGAGAGAGAGATGGGCAATAGAAATCCTGCCACTGGCGTGCAAATTTTTGTACAGGCCTCGCCTGGTTCTCAGTGTCTTCACCTTGCCCTGCCGTGACAGAGCCTCATTAAAACGAGCAATTTGCAAATCAGCAGTCGTGCAGTTATTTCCTCCGGCGGGTACCAATTCCAGGCTGGCTGAGTTTGGCAAGAGGTGGGATTCTGTCGGCTTGGCTTATCTTGCGAGGAGCAGCATAATGCCAGGAAATGGAGGGTGAGGAAATGGAGGCCAAGAACTTTGTTTTTGCAACTCATTTCCACCGCAGGGTCAAGGGTGTTATGACATCCCCAGGATAGGCACACATCAGCTGATATGGAACACCCGTAGGGTTACTCAACAGACCAGAGGGTTGCAATCCAGCTGTTGCAGTGCAAACACAGAGCTCTGTCCCAGCCAGAGTGCTTGCGAACTTTAATGCCAGGCACCCAATTTGTGCATACTTGTGTAGGCTTAGGCCCCAGGCTTTCTGGAGGACCGTATCTTCCCATGTGAAGCTGTCCAGATTCTGAGATCTTCAGGGGAAACCCTTTTCACAGTCTCACAGCCTTGGTGAGGACACAGGAGAGGGTCTGCTCGGTGGTGGCTACTCCCAGACTCTGGTACTCCCTCCCTAGAGAGGCAAGCCTGGCTCTCTCCTTGTCTTTTAGGCAGCAGCTGAATGCTGTTTAATTCTCACATGCCTTTGAGAACTGACTTTTTTAAAAAGGAAAAGGCCTTGAAATTATGCTGTGCTTCTTTTTTAAACTGTATTTTAATACATTGGTTTTTAATATTCCTTTAATTCTATTACAGTCGTACCTTGGAAGTCGAACGGAACCAGTTCCGGAAGTCCGTTTGACTTCCAAAACCAAAGCGCGGCTTCTGATTGGCTGCAGGAAGCTCCTGCAGCCAATCAGAAGCCCTGTCGGACACTCGGCTTCCAAAAATAGTTCGCAAACCGGAACAGTCACTTCCAGGATTGTGACATTCGGGAGCCAAAGCGTTCGGGAACTAAGCTGTTTGACTTCCAAGGTACGACTGTATAGAATTTAGTTATTGTCTTTATGTTTTTAGCCTGTGTCTGGGGTGTTAGGGGAGGGGCAGTACCTCTGGTGGGGGCCACGTTGTGCTCCTTCTCAGGTAGTTCATCCCCCTTTGGTCCCCACCCTGCTCTCAGCTCTCACCTGTGGCTCCTAGAAGCTGCCAGCATGTGATAGCAGCCACAGTCCTGAGAACGGCTTCGAGTGGTTAGCTGCATCTGGTGAGGGTAGCCAATGGATCACAAACCCTCAGCGTGCGAAGACAGGCTCCACAGGATTGAGCAGACAAGACAAGACCTTGTACCTATGGGACCACCTCTCCTGGTATGTCCCACAGAGGACCTTACGGTCTTCAAACAAAAACATCTTGGAGATCCCGGGCCACAGGGAGGTTAGGCTGGCCTCAACCAGAGCCAGGGCCTTTTTGGCTGTGGCCCTGATCTGATGGAATGCTCTGTCACAAGAGACCAAGGCCCTGGCTCCACCAGGCCTTTGGCCAAGGCACAGTCTGACTCCCTCCTATGGTAATCCTCATAGAACTCTAGCCCAATGGCTGCAATTAATTTGATTCTGAATTGATTTTAGAATGTATTTTAATTAACTGATTGTGATTTTATGTAAATTGTGTTACTTTTACTGTTGTTAGCCGCTCTGAGCAAGGCTTCGGCTGGGGAGGGCGGGATATAAATAAAATATTATTATTATTATTATTATTATTATTAAGAGTGGGTCCAACAGTCAAGAAGGTGGTATCTGCACATGCTGTAGAGGGAAGTGAGGGGCAGGTGAGGCCAGTCCACCTGGGAAGGTAGCCCACCTGGGAGAAGGAAAGCTCTGGTCCCAAACCTTGTAGGATAACTTCAAGAAAAGAAAAAACTCAGGAGCAAATCTTACACAGATCCAGAGTGGAGTCCCTAAGGCTGTTGGATGGCACCTTGTACGCCACCTTCCATCCAACTCCTGCAACCTAGCGGGTGTCAAACGTATTGCTCTCTTTTGGAAAGAGGGGTCTTGGTCAGCCCAGGACCTCCAGACACACTGCCCAGGATTGTGCCCCGGGGAGCTCACTTTGGAGCTGCTAACACAGTGGTTGGACTTCACTCCTGGAGGTGCACTCCATTGTCTCTCGAGACAGATGGATGCCAACAAAGCCTTTGTATTTTATTTGTGCTGCTTTGATTCGCGTAAGCTGCCTTGAGTCCCAGTCTCTGAAAAAGATGGGCTATAATAATAATAATACAGTGGTACCTCGGGTTACAGACGCTTCAGGTTACAGGTGCTTCAAGTTTCAGACTCCGCTAACCCTCGTAATAGTACCTCGGGTTAAGAACTTTACCTCAGGATGAGAACAGAAATCGCGCAGCAGCGGCAGCAGGAGGCCCCATTAGCTAAAGTGGTGCTTCAGGTTAAGAACAGTTTCAGGTTAAGAACGGACCTCCGGAATGAATTAAGTGCTTATACCGAGGTACCACTGTAGTAGTAGTAAGAAATAAGTGTGTGAATGCACAGAGCCCTTGCAGACACCGATGAGAATTGGGCAGATGTGCACAGCACCAAGCTTTGGAACAGGGGCAAATTGTTCCAAAAGTCTTTAACAAATCACTCCTGGCTTTGCTCTCTTCCTTCAGTACATTGGCAGTCTGGACGTGCCAAGACCCAACAGCCGCGTGGAGATAGTGGCCGCGATGAGAAGGATCCGGGTGAGTCATTGCGTGCGTCTTCCTTCCTTCCTTCCTTCCTTCCTTCCTTCCTTCCTTCCCTTCCTTCCTTCCTTCCCCTCCCCAACCTGCAGATATCTTCTGCTTACTTTGAGCCGCTCAGTGATGCAATCAGAAAAACGTTCTCCTCCCCCTGTGCCTTGTTCTCCGCCACCTCCAAAAGAAAAAACCACTCTGCCCTTGCCTTCCTTTCCCCAGGAGGCATTCAACCAGAAGGCTGGCTGGACTCCACTTCCCATACGCCCCCGCCACCCCCACAAATGGCTGAGCCCACGGATGAGCTGCATTTCCTCCTGGAGCAGAAGCCCAGATTCTCTCAAGTGGCTAAGATGGCCTTCTGGGAATGAATGACTGCAGCTTAGGAGCTGTCTTCTGGAGAGTCTGGGGGGGGGGGGGGCACACGTGGCAGTGCAAGACCAGGTGGTGCCTCTGTCCACTTCTGGCTCTGCAGTCAGTTTGCATTTCTCTCTCTTTCTTCTCTCCTGCCCCCCCCACCCGCCCCCGCTACTTTGCCTGACTTGAGGCAAGACTGACTCTTTCTTGTCAGTTCTGAGAAGGAGAGCGAGGCCAAAGTGTCTCTTTTCATAGACTCGTAGAACTGTAGAGCTGGAAGGGATCTCCAATGGTCCTCTATTCCAGCCCCCTGCAGGGCAGGATCACAGTGCAAGAATCCCTGGAAGGTGGCCCTTCAACCTCTGCTTCAAAACCTCCAGCAGAGTCGTATCCACCACCGTCTATAGCTAAGGTGCTCTGGAGCTGGCATGGCAACGTGTGTTGAATTTTTCAGCTTCCAGCTTCCCAAAATGGGAGCTGCTAAAAAAAAGTTGTGGCATGACTTGGGAATTCAAAACATATTGTACAGTCATTCCTCATGTTACGTTCTTTCAGGTTACGTCCCGCGGCGACCCGGAAGTACCAGAAAGGGTTACTTCCGGGTTTCACCACTTGCGCATGTGCAGATGTGCAAAATGATGTCACGCGCATGCACAGAAGCGCTGAATTGCAACCAGCGCGTGCGCAGGCACGCTGCTGCGAGTTGCGCTCTTTTCATGTTGCGAACGGGCCTCCGGAACGGCTCCCGTTCGCAGCCAGAGGTACCACTGCATATTAAAAAGTTAACATAATTTAGTTTTGCTTGATGAGTAACAAAATTAGAAATACTGACTTTTCTATTGTTTTTGTGGAATTTCTGGGTGTGCAGGCCCAGCTGCTTCTGGGCCAGTTCTACAAAAACAGGAAGTGGGCCAAGTTTTCTTGGGGGACACAGAAGAGGTGCGCAGCAGAAGCTGTCATATGCAGCGCCCCCCCCCCCCCATTGCCACAAATTCCTGTTTTCAAAGCAGACAGGTGGGGGTGGGATTTAGATCCCTGGGTTTTACTGGGACCCTCAGCTCCCCCCACCTCTGTCCACTTGCCACATGAGCTGCTCAGAGTTGTATTGCATCAGCACCTGGAGGACTGCAGTAACCCCCCCCCCCCCCGCAACCAGTCCAGCTGCTCCCCAGGGCCTGGGTTTTTGCACCTGCTTCCACCCATGAAGCCCTACATCCAGTCTCCAACTTGGGAGGCTGTTTGGGAAAGCCTTGGCAGAGCACGGTGGGTGGACCAGCGCTGCTCTGAGGTGGCCCAAGACCATCTCACCCCTCTGTTCACTGCACCAGGAAGTGCCCCTGGCAGCTCAGGGGATGGGCACTTGGCTTGGCATACACAGGGCACCAGGATCAACCTTGGGCGTCCCCTTCCCTAAGGGTTGCAAAGCTGGGAGGGCCCCCTGGCTGGCTGCTACCAGTCAGTGCAGACAGTACTGAGGGCTGGGTGGATGTGTGGATCTGGCAGATAACAGGCCCCTCTGCCCATAACCACCCACCCGGGGTCTTGAGCCAGTGTGGTGTAGTGGTTAAGAGCGGTAGTCTCGTAATCTGGGGAACCGGGTTCGTGTCTCCGCTCCTCCACATGCAGCTGCTGGGTGACCTTGGGCCAGTCACACTTCTCTGAAGTCTCTCAGCCCCACTCACCTCACAGAGTGTTTGTTGTGGGGGAGGAAGGGAAAGGAGAATGTTAGCCGCTTTGAGACTCCTGAAGGGGAGTGAAAGGCGGGATATCAAATCCAAACTCCTCCTCTTTGCGGCGGGTCCTAAAAAAAACACAAGTGCGGACACAAACCCTCGCCCACCACCACCATTGCAATTCACACCAAAATCCTGTTGCTTTCTCTGCTTCCACCCTGCTGTGCCAACCAAAGGCCCTCCAATCCTGTTTTCCAGCAGCTGCCTGCGCTCAGGTGCCTTGCAGGGGTTCTCCCTTAGGCTGCCCCCCTCCCTGTCGTCCTGTGGGCTCTGTAGGCTGGCATCCGCTAATCCCCTAATCAGCTGTGCTGAGTGGCTTTATGAAGCATCCTCCTTGTGTTCTGGGCCAGCTATTCCGCCCTCCCCTCCCTTCCCCCTCCCCTTTTATAAAAAGGCTTCCGAGATTTAATAAGGAGGAAGGCATTCCTTGTGTTCGCGTTTCCCAGCTGGGGCTCGGCGTGGGCGCCTTGCTTGTGACAGTTAATTGGCAGTTAGAAAGGGGCTGGGGGTGGGGAGGCCAGGCAGCGGCGTCAGTGGAGGAAAGGGGGACGGGACCTATGTGCTCCCAGGCAAAGGCAGGTCTACGTGACAAATCCTAAAGCAGTTTCAAGCATGCCAAAGGTCTATAAAATTGTGTGTGGCGTGGAGAAGGTGGAAAGAGGAAATGGCAACTCCCTCTCTCCGTCCGTCAGAACTTGGCACCCAGTGAAGCTAAATGATAATAAATAATAATAATAATATTTTTTTATTTATACCCAGCCCTTCCCGGTTCAACAACCGGGCTCAGGGCGGCTAACAACAAATTTAAAACACTTAATTATAAAAGCAGCATAAAATACAGTATAAAAACACGAATAACAATAAAATTCAAAAATCAATTAGATAATCCCCAGGGCTAGCTGGCTGAATTGGTCCTACTTGGGCCAGCGAGGAGGCCAGGGGAGAATTAGCTGTGGGGTCTCAGAGCGGGTGATCTTCATAAAAGGGGAGGGGGAGGGAAGAGAAGGGAAATAATGATGGAAGATTCAGCTTCCAACGTAAAAGGGAGTGCTTCTTTGCACAATTCGTAGTTAACCTGTGGAACTCCCGCCCACAGGAGGCACATTCATGGAGGAGAGGGCTGTCCATGGCTCCCAGCCATGATGTCCACAGTTGGAGACAGCAATGTTCAGGCCGAGGCAGAAACAGGAAAGGAGCTTGAGTAGACTTGCCCTGAGTCTCAGAGGACTAAGCTGGCCAGGGCTCCCTGCCAGGAACATGCCAGACATACACTGTCATGCCAGGATTGCCCCATGCCTCCCAGCTGACTTGGGAACTCTTGCCCTGGGCCTCAGACGAGCTCTGCACAGGCCTGGCTATGCTTCTGAAACCACAGAAAGGGAGAAGGCTCTCATGCTTGGGTTCTGTTTGCAGATTTCATCCAGGCACCTGGAGGCTGGCCTAGATGGGCCGTGGGCCTGACCCAGCAGCGTCCTCTTATGTTCAGCACCAGGCTCCTGATCAAGACACCTGGAGGGATGGGAGCTGTAGTTTTCTGAAGGGGGTGGGGGTGCTTGCAAGGAGGGTGGGAAACTCTAGAGAAAGTTTTCCGAATCCTGTGCTAAATTGCAGTCTCCAGTCAGAGCTGAGCATTTTAGGAACCTTCGTCAGCCAAATATGAAACTGACATTTTAAAAACCGTTTGCAAATGGGATAAAACAATGAAAATATCACTGAGAAAAATTAACAACAATAATTTACGACCTTTGGGAAGTTAAAATAATGATGGACTAAAAGCAGATTAAAGCTCACACCAACTTTCTAAACTTCTGGGTTGGCATGTCTAAACAAAAATGCTTTTAGCAGGCACCAAAAGGAGTATAGTAAAGGCTCCTGACATCAGGTAGAGAGTTCCAAAATTACAGGTGCTGCCACCCTATGAGATCGAGTTCCCACAGATGCCGGAACGGGTATGATGTGGCCAGTTCCACAGATCCAAGCAGGCGAGTGGGCATATATGGGGCAGCTAAACAACAAACAAAGGCAAAATATTTGCACACTGACTCTCGGCAGTTTTAAGGCATCCCTTTCTCACAAAGGTGCTGGATGTGAGATTTGGCTTCAGCGTTTCAGGGCTTTACTCTGAAGCTATGCTGGTAAAGTTTTCCATCGCACAGGTGTCCCCCTTGCCTCCTACCTGCTGCTCAGGGTGGGTGGGGAACCCAAAATGAGTGGTGGGAGCCCTCTGTTCTTTTGGGAGCTCCTGGATCCACCCAGAGATACAGCCATGGCCCCCCTCAGGCTGGCTTATTGGCAAGAGGTGTTCTTTAACAAACAGAGAGAAAGCTCAGCCCTTGGAGCAGAATGTAAATTTGGTGGATGTAAATTTGGTGCTTGCTGGGTTGGCTTGACATTAAGGCTAAGCTAAGCCTGCATTTAAATGTGTGGGGGTTTTTCTGCGTTAAAAATTGCCAGCCTTCCTCCTGGATTATTAGTAGCCTCCTGGAGCCACAGACTTTTTCTGCGACTGACTGAGCTGTAGCTAATCCTCCCTCCTCCCCAGCCAATTCCTCCAGCTTTGACAGTGACAGCGGATGTCATTATTCTTGCCGCTTGAATATTAAGTGGGGTGGCGATTGGTGCGCTCCTTGGAAGGCGCATCCTGGCCCCCCATTACATTCTGGTTCTTTGTAGCCTATGCTTGCTTTCAGAGCCTGGGGATGGCTTAGGAAAGGGCCTCACCCTGAGACCAGCTGCTGGGGCTGATGGAAGTTGTAGTCCAGTAACATCTGGAGGGCCAAAGGTTAACCCCCCCTCCCCCCAGGTCTGGTCTGCACTGACTGGCAGCCTCTGCCTTCCAGGGCCCTAGGCCAGGGACATTCCCAAGCCCTACCTAGAGATTAGTTTTATTTGGGGGGGGGTATTTGTTTTGTTTTGTTTTGTTATGTATTTTGCATTCTCATTCTACAGTGGTACCTCAGGTTAAGTACTTAATTCGTTCCGGAGGTCCGTTCTTAACCTGAAACTGTTCTTAACCTGAAGCACCACTTTAGCTAATGGGGCCTCCTGATGCAGCCGCGCCACCGGAGCACGATTTCTGATCTTATCCTGAAGCAAAGTTATTAACCTGAAGCACTATTTCTGGGTTATCGGAGTGTGTAACCTGAAGCGTATGTAACCCGAGGTACCACTGTATATGCTTATGTTGTAAACAATCCTGTGATCTTTGGATGAAGGGCTTTATACAAATTTAATTATTGATGGTGATTATTATGATGATAATAAATATCTAACCTTTATCTCCCAGGAGCTCAAAGTGGAGTACATGGTTCTTCTCCCCACTCCTCACTGAATCCCCACAACAGCAACCCTCAAGGTAGGTTAGGCTGAGTGGCCCAAGGCCAGCCCACGAGAGCTTTGTGGCTGAGTGGGGATTCGAACCCTGGACTCTCCCGGGTGCTTATCTGATGCTGCAACCACTACACCACGCTGGTGCTCTGCTACTGGGGATTGAACTTGCAACCTTCTGCATGCAAAGTGGAGGATCTAGCATTGAGATACGACTCTTCTTATGCCACTCACAGCGTTAAATGGAACAGGTTGCATGCCTCCTTTCTCTCCATGGCAAGATAATTCGTTCAGGCTTTGCCTCTGGAGGTGCAGTGTCAGAGCAAGGCCAAAGCAAGCTCAGAGTGGGAATGCCAGGGTTCAAATCCTCATCTCATCTATCAGGCTATTGCCTCTCAGCATGACCTACCTCGCAGGGTTGTCGTGAGAGGCTAACATGGGAAGAGGGAGAGCCAGGTATGCCACCCTGGAGGAAAAGGTGAGACAGACATGCAAAATATAAATCTGTTGACCCACTGAGAACCCAGGTTAATACAAGGGAAGCAGAGAGGCAAGCTGGCGCTGAAACCATAAATCACATTTTCAGAATAAGTAAATAAACCAAACAGGGTGGAAAGTCAGAAGGCAGCGGAGCCAACTTTGCAGCCGTATTCGTACCAGCAATCCATCGATCAGGAGCCTTGCTTTAAAGGAGAGGATTTAACCTGGCGCCTGAATGCTACAATTGAAGACACTTATTTGGGGGTGCCACCAGCGAAAAGGCCCTACCCCTTGGCATGTGTGTTTGGGGGTGGGAAGTTCCTGAAGAACTGCCTCAGAAGAAGGTTTTTAAGGCCACCCATAGGGCTGCCATTTCCCTGCCTGTTTTATCCTTTGCAAACAACCCTCCGAGGTAGGCTTGTCTGAGAGAGAGGCCTCCAGTTCTTTCAGCCTGGCATGTAACTGCTGCACCGGTGGTGAGGAACATCTGTGGCACTCCAGATGTGGTCAGGATCCCAGCACGCATCAGCCCCAGCCACCTGGAGGTCTATGCCCCGCAACCGCTTCACTACGCCTCCCTGCCTCTCAGTGTGGGCTAATTGAAGTTGGGAGGTTGACGGATCAAGCCTCTGCCTTTTAGCTGATGGAAACATTTAAGAATTGATTGAGTCAAAGTTAAATGGCGACAGTACAAAACCTCAGCAAAGTTTTCTTGTTCAGGACCGTCGAGGACAGGCAGAGAGGTGAAAATGAAAAGACAGGCCTGTCTAGACCAAGCAAAGTGCGGTATTTTTCACTCCATAAGATGCACCTAGTTTTTAGAGGAGGAAAACAAGAAAAAAAAATATTCTGAACGAAACAGTGGATGTATGGTTTTAGTGGTTCATGCTGTGGCCACAGACATGATGTGTGATTTGACGGTGAGTTTGGGCTAGCCCAATGCAAAAATCCTGAGGATCCTTGTGGATCCATGCTTTGTAACCACGTTTTTGCGCCATTGAGGCCCCACGAAACAGTGGATGCGTGGGGCTTTTTTGGTGCAGGCTGTAGCCATGGACATGCAATGTGATCTAATGGTGAATTTGGGGTGACCCAATGCAAACATCCTGAGGATCCATGGGCTTTTACCTCCCCCCTCCCAGGCAGCCTCCTTTATTGCTAGCGTCCCTTATCTCCCTCCCCGATTGCTTGCCGATCAGCGGCTTTGTTTCAACACCCACTTCCCTCTTTCAAAAAAAGAGAGCATGATCTGCTTTTCGCCCCTGGGCAATTCGGCTCCAGGGACCACGCATTCACTCCACAAGACGCACAGACATTTCCCTTTACTTTTTAGGAAGTGCGTCTTATGGAGTGAAAAATACGGTAATAGCACTGCTGTATTCTGCCTTGGTCAGGCCATAACTGGAGTCCTGTGTCTGGTTCTGGGCACCACAATTTAAGAAGGATGTTGACAGGCTGGAAGGTGTGTAGAGGAGAACAACCAGGATGATCAAGGGTCTGGAAACCAGGCCTTAGGCGGAGTGGTTGAGGGAGTTGGGTCTGTTTAGCCTGGAAAAGAGGAGACTGAGAAGTGATGTGGTAGCCAGCTTCAAATAAAGGCAACTACCAATTTAGACATGTCTGATTGATATGCGATTGCACACACACACACGCAGCGCCAAACCTGGAAGTGACCTGAAAATGTCACCCAAATGGCACCAGAAGGGCGGGGCAGTGTGGAACGGAACACTTAACATGGGCCCCCCTGGGGCCCAGAATGTAAAGGTAAAGGGACCCCTGACCATTAGGTCCAGTCGTGACTGACTCTGGGGTTGCGGCGCTCATCTCGCTTTACTGGCCGAGGGAGCCGGCGTACAGCTTCCGGGTCATGTGGCCAGCATGACTAAGCCGCTTCTGGCGAACCAGAGCAGCGCATGGAAATGCCGTTTCCCTTCCCGCTGGAGTGGTACCTATTTATCTACTTACACTTTGACATGCTTTCGAACTGCTAGGTAGGCAGGAGCAGGGACCGAGCCGAACCGCAACCTTCTGATCGGCAAGTCCTAGGCTCTGTGGTTTAACCCACAGCGCCACCTGTGTCCTGATCCAGAATGTAACCCCATGCAAAAGAAAGACTGCCTGAACCTGGAACATGGAAGGCTGTCACATGGAAGATGGAGCAAGCTTGTTTTCTCCTGCTGTGGAGGGTAAGACTCGAACCAATAGCTTCAAATTACAAGGAGATTCTGACTCAACATCAAGAAAAACTTTCTGACATGTAGGGGCTGTGTAACAATGGAACGGTCTCCCTTGGGAGATGGTGGACTCTCCTTCCTTGGAGGTTTTTAAGCAGAGGTTGGATGGCCATCTGTCATGGATGCTTGAGCTCGTGATTCCTGCATCGCAGAGGGTTGGACCAGATGACCCCTGGGTCCCTTCCAGTTCCACAGCTCTGTGATTTGACACTTTTTGGGGTCCTAGCAACTTAGTGCTGTAACCCTGAATACGTCCATGCTCAGTAACTCCTTTGGAGAAGGGTGTGCTTCTGTAGCAAACAAAGGTCCCGCTCTGCTAAGCCCAGCAATCTTGGCTACCATTGCAGCTGACCACCACCCCTCCTCTTTTGTCTTCTGGGTGACATTCCTGGGCTGGTGGGACTCCGGGTGCCGGTTGCCAACCCTGTAGTGATATCCTGACAAATCGCAGTTCTAAAGAGGAGGTTGAAAGCAATGAAAGTCATGGATTGAGTACAGGCAGTGGGCCAAACTGATCCTCCAGGAGCAGCTATGAACTGCAGATTTCAGCCACGGGAAACTGGCTATGGAGCACACACAAAGCAAGTTTTTAGCCCTCATGGGTGAGAATAAGCATTTTATAGGGAAGCTTTTAATGTTTAACAGACCACTGTATTTTAATACTTTGTTGGAAGCCACCCAGGGTGGCTGGGGAGACCCAGCAGGATGGGCAGGGTATAAATAATAAATTATTATTATTATTGTGCAAAAAAATCTGAAGCCAGTTGAAGAGAAGCTGAGTAAGGTTTAGCATAACCAAGGGGGTGGATTCAGTGCCCTGAAAATCTCCCATCTCCCCCACTCAGTGACTAGAAAATTAAGGTAAATTACTCTCCTACTGTTTGCCTCCAAGTCTGCTTTAGCTTGCAGGGTTTGTGGCACAAGCTCTTGCTCTTGAGCAAGGACGAAAAGAGCAGAGATACTGTCCTTTGGCCTCCTTGCTCTGCTGCCTCAAAATTAATCTGTTCTCCTCTCCTACGCCGTAATTGTTAATAGAGAGGCAGGCGTGACTTTTCCCCAGAAGGGTCATCATTCTACGGGTAAGTCAGCTCCAGAGCCAGTTCAGTCGAAAGGTGCATGCAAGAGCATGCCAGCTGTGCATGTGTGCACCTCCTACCCCCCACCCTGGGGGGACTGGTTTTGCCACAGGCTTTCTGTTGGAAACCACGCAAGGCTCTCCCAGTGACACCCTCTCTAAATGTGGATTTGCACAATGCCATCATGCGAAGTCGGTGGAGAATTCATATTTTGTTCTCCCCTAAAAAACCCTGCTGGGATTCTGTCCCTTTGGGGGAATGGTCAGGAGATGCCAGGGCCGTCTTAAGCATATCTGGCACTGTGGTGCAAAGATCCCTCTGGCACACACACACCCTTTCCCAGAGTTTCAGCCTTTTTTTAGGGCTGGAGGAGGCGGGCAGTTCGTTCGGTGTTCCCCAGACTCTCGCCTGGCGCCCTCCAGAACTTGGCGCCCTGGCGTCCCGCGCCACTAGCCTCTATGGGTAAGGCGGGCCTGGTAGGTGCATTGCAATAATACAACTCATTCACAGGCAGCTTCATGTGCTGATTGCATTGGGCATCTTTTTGCAGTATTGCAGCAGCAGCCCTGCAAGCCAGGAGCAACCCCCTCCCCCCCAAAAAAGGCGTCAGGTTTCAAAATGTTTAAGAGCCCCTTCGGTGCTTCAGCAGCACACTCCATTGTCTCTTGAGACAGATCGGTGCCAACAAAGAGCATAAGAAGAGCTTGCTTCTACTTTAGAGGTTATCTTTCAAGAAGTGGCTGTTTTCTGTAGTTTGTGCAAGGTGCTGAGAGGTCTTAGGAGGCCCACCCCTATTCCCCTCCTAGAACTACAGTTCCCAGAGTGGTTTAACACACGGGTGATGGAGCCAACTTGTTTTCTCCTGCTCTGGGAGGTAGCACCCAAACCAGTGGATTCAAATTTCAAGCAAGGAGATTGAGATTAAACCTCTAGCACAACATTCTGTACTCACCAAATGCCACAATAGGAACCGCTCCTGCTCCCCCAAATTAGGAGCTGACGGCAACAGAGTCTGAAGGCATAGGCCCTTTCTCAGTGCCTGGAAGTCAGTAGCCTATTTCCTCTAAATGGGGAGGGATACCTCACTCTGCAGCAGTGAGTTCCATAGGCACTGCATCCCATTGGCTTTGAGAGACTGCCCTGAGTTGCAGAACAATGGGGGAGGGAGAAAACCCCCTCTCTCTATCTGCACTCTGTCAGCGACCCACCGGGCAGGACTGTAAGGGAGACACATACGGAAGAATGAGGACTATATGCAAGTTATCTTTGGACTATCTGGGTATTATACTTTGCAGTGGAGAGAGGGCTTTGCATAGGCAGGGCTCTTTAAAAATAATTATTATTATGTGCCAAGATAACCTGAGCTCAGTTCATGATTATGCAAATCATGAAGATTTGCATGCATTTTACATAATTCTACATTTCATCATGCAGAATGAGGAGCCCTCACCCCTGGCTTCCCGCAAGCTTTGCTTAGCCCCCCTATGTTTCCATCCTTATCTCTGCAAGGGCAAAAAAAAATTGGCCTTTTTTATTAGCAATAGTAGAATAGAATAGAAAGCTAAAATCGCGATGTATCCCCTGGGGTCGTTCCGATATATGGTGGCCCCCATCGCCGTGGTCATCTCCTCCTGTCAGAGTGATGGTCACTCTGTTAGCTGAGAAGAAAATGCCGCAGTTATGAGATCACGTTCCAGGGATGATTGATAGCAGATGGGCTGATGGATCAGCCTGCAAAACATGTAATCTCTAAGCAATGGTGACCTTTTAATGCCATGCTCAGAATTGCTGGAACTGGATTCCCAAGAGCCGTGTGGGTGGGGGGGGCGTGCCTGGTGCTGGCGCAGTCTCTGCAAGCTTGTGTGAATGCTGATTTGGGTTAGCCAAGGAGGGGTCAAGGAGCTAAACTAAACATGATGGATAGACCTCATTTGGGGACGTGGCTGCTTTGGGGACATGGCTGTCCGTGGGGAGGGGAGGGGGCACAGATAAGCCATATCTTTAATTTTAAATTTTAATTTTATAAAGGATATAATACGAGCCCTTCTGGATCAAGCCAGTGGCCCACCTACTGCAGCATTTTGTTGAACAGATGCCTTTTGGAATCCTGTACGCAGGACCCAAGCACAAGAGCCATGCTTATTGATTTTACTTATTTCATAAAATTTATACACCACTTGGTTGTAAAAAAAACACCATCACCAAAAAACCAAAAAAAGAATAAAGCATTTATCAGTAAAAACAGCCAACGCTTATTTAAAACGTTAAAAAAAAGTAGTATCGGCAATAAATTAAAAACAGATTAAAACATACACCAACGTTCTACATGTCTGGGTAAAGGTAAAGGTAAAGGGACCCCTGACCGTTAACTCTAGTTGTGACCGACTCTAGGGTTGCAGCGCTCATCTCGCTTTATTGGCCGAGGGAGCCGGCATGCAGCTTCCGGGTCATGTGGCCAGCATGACTAAGCCGCTTCTGGCAAACCAGAGCAGCGCACGGAAATGCCGTTTACCTTCCCGCCGGAGCGGTACCTATTTACCTACTTGTACTTTGACGTGCTTTCGAACTGCTAGGTTGGCAGGAGCAGGGACTGAGCAACAGGAGCTCACCCCATTGTGGGGATTCGAACAGCCGACCTTCTGATTGGCAAGTCCTAGACTCTGTGGTTTAGACCACAGCACCACCCGCATCTCTACATGTCTGGGTACGGTTGCCTAAATGAAAATGGCCTTAGCAGGTGCCGGCATCAATACAGTGTTTTGACAAAGCATTGTGGATCACACCAAGATTCTTGGGTGGCAGGTGTTAACCACTGTGCACACAGTGCAAAAAAGGACTGTGGATGCAGTCAGCGCATGAAGATTGGCTTTGTGCAGTGTCTGGTCAACGCAGTGATAGAATCATAGAGTCAGGAAGAACCTTAGAGACCATCTTCTCCAGCCCCTGCTTAGGGCAGGGCAGGCAATGCAGGAACGTAAGCATCCCTGGCAGAAAGCTGCCTGGCCTCTGCCTAAGTACCTCCGGCAAAGGAAGCAGGTTGTTGCAGTGGTGAACACCTCCTATCATAACGAAGTCTCTGCTGATGTTTAGCCAAAATCTGCCTTGTCTTGCCCTGCGGGGCAACATTGACAGCACCCAAGCAGAATACGCAGATCCTCCTCTCTTGGGGCACTTTCGAATGTCACCGCTCCTGTGTGGGTGTTTTTGGAGGAGATCTCCTGGAAGAGTGCCGTGTGTGGCTGAGCATGATGTTCCTTTGTATCTGCCCAGCAACCTATAACTTTCCATTAAAAGGCCGCTGTCTCCAAACCGTCTCAATTTTTATTTTATTTCCTACCTGCCCTTTATCTGCTGCCTGGAAGGAAATGGTAGGAACCTCAGCAGGCTGCTGAAAATAATACCAGCTGGCCTTTGCTAATTCATATTATTATATCATTGACAAGCTGAAAGGTGTGCAGAGGAGGGCGACCAAGATGATCAAGGGCCTGGAAAGTAAGCCTTAGGAGGAAGGGCTGAGGGAGCTGGGAACGTTTAGCCTAGAAAAGAAGAGACTGAGAGAAGATATGATAACCAGCTTCAAATATCTCAAGGTCTGTCCCATGGAAGATGGAGCAAGCTTGTTTTCTCCTGCTGCGGAGGGTAGGACTCGAACCCATGGCTTAAAGTTACAAAAAATGAGATTCCGACTAAACATCAGGAAGAACTTTCTGACAGTGGAACAGTCTCCTTTGGGAGGTTGTGGGCTTTCCTTCCTTGGAGGTTTTTAAGCAGAGGTCGGATGGCCACCAGTCAGGGATGCTTTCGCTGAGATTCCTGCATTTCAGGGGGTTGGACTAGATGACCCTTGGGATCCCTTCCAGCACTATGATTTTGACTCCTTGGCATGCTGGTTTGGTTTTTTTAAACTGCCCCTGTTCTAATGTTGCCTGTGCTCCCCTTCTGAGCCGGAGCCTGGAGCCAGCCAGTGCTGTACTGACAGATGAACACAGGCGTGGCCAGTCACGAAATGCGCCCCCCGGGGAGGTGGCCAAGTCCTGGGATGGGGGCAGGCTGTGTGTTCCTGCACGAGGGGCGTGGGGTGCGCTGGCTGCTTCAGGAACGGTCTGTGTCATTATGCCATCTGGGCCCCGGCTTGTGCCAGCACAGAGAGCGATTCAAACAAGGCATCCTGGCGCCAGGAGGTGAGCGTGGGAGCCGGAAAACGGAGGCTTTTTTCTCAAGAGCAACATCACCCTCCGTTCGCAAAGAAGCTCATTTCGGGAGGCTGGCCTGGCTTCCAGGAAAGGGTGAGCAGCCAAAGATTCTTCCAAACCAGCATTCCAACCCTTGTGGGGACCACCCCCTGGGAAAAGCCTAGCTGCGCTGTCCAGACATCTGCCCCCCAGCCCTACTACCTTAAAGCAGGCTGCTTCAGCTTGCTGCATGGTGGGGCCAGCCCCAGTTCCCTCTTCTGCATGCCAGCCCTCGACCCCACACTTCTTTTTCCTCCTCCAAACGTCCTGCCTTCCATCTCTGCTTCTCTTCGGGGAGTCCTTTCTGTGAAGACTGGCTCAAGGGATTTTTGTTCTTTTCCCGTGCTAAGTGAATGAATCTCTTCCCCACCTCTCTCTGGCTTGGAAATCCATGCAGCCCGAAATAGCTCCTTTGCAATGAAGAGGAGAGGGAGGTCGGGGTGTGTGTGTGTGTGGAGGGGTGGAGATGCATTATTTAGTATCCAGGATGCGCTTGGCGCCTTCTCTGCCCACACAAGACGGCAGCATTAGGGATTCTCCTTGTGTCTGCAGTGCCTCTGCAGAAACGCCTCTTGACTGCCAAAGGGAGGCCTGTGCTCATTAAACTCCCCCCTCCCCCCGCCAAATAATTCTGATGAGGCTCCATCCATCACGCTCTTCTGCAAGCGCATTTCATTCTGCAAGTGGGACATGACTGATGCTTGTGAAATCATGCACAGCCCTAAGAAGTGTGTACAGGGGAGGTTTTCACCTTCTGCCATCCTATTTTAGCTCAGGGTGGGATTGGCGGGGAGATCACTAAATGAAATGCACTTTTCACCAAATGCACATGTTTCATGTGCCGATGGACTCCGCTGCCATGTTGAGGGTGTTTTCTGGCATATATTAAGATGCAAGCGCATGGCTGGCTGGCTCCCACTGAATCATGTTTCATTTTGGTACTGATTTGGTACATATTGCTATCCACTACTGCGGGGCCTCGTTCCTGCAAGAAGAGCCATCCTGTTTTCTTGTCTCACTTCAGATAAAACTCATTCGGGTTCAAATGTCGTATCCAGCCATGTACCGGTACTCTGAATCTATAATAGCAAGTTGCCATCTGACTCTTTGTTTTGCTTCGTTGCAAAATATTTAAACCACTTAGTAAAGTTTTTTTCTAAATAAAAACTTCAACAACAACAACAACGAAAGATCAGCAGGGTGGAATCTACACATGTTAAAATCGTGAAAATGCTTTTTAAAAAACTGTTTTGAAAAATGCATTGAATCTGCTATAGCTCACAGTCGTCATCTGGTGTCACAATTGTATATTGCACTTTGCAACACATTCAAAATTTTGTATTTGCAGCTGTATATCTGAGTCCCAGGTAAATTTAGAGCAGATAATATTTTATGCATGCATGCATTTATTTATTAAATTTGTATACCACCCTTCATCTGTAGATCTCGGGGCAGTTCACGGCATACAAATACAAGATAAAAACACAAAAGACATAATAAAAACAAGAACAAAGGGGGGGAGAGATTAAAAGGTTTTTTAAAAAATGTTTTCTTCACAAAGCTAACTTTTGGAATTCACTGACACAAAATATGGTGAGGGGCAGTGGCTTAGGAGGCTATTGAAAAGGATTATATAACTTCGTGGAGAAGTGGTGGCTATTTTAGGGGCTAGTGGTCAGGGCACCTAAATGAAGCTTCCATGTTAACACAAAGTCTACCTCTGAATACTGCCGGTTGGGGACAGCTGAGATCCTGAGCTCTGCTTCTGGCCTTCTCAGAGGCATCTGGCTAGTTGCTGTTGGAAAAATGAGAAATTTTCGTCAGATCTCTCAGAGGCTCATAATAGGGAAGTCGGTGGTGGTGTAGTGGTTAATTGTTGGACTAAGACCCGGGAGACCAGGGTTCAAATCCTTCTTGGCCATAAAGTTCACTGGGTGACCTTGCGCCAATCACTGACTCTCTGCGTAAGCTCTACCTCACAGGGTGGGTGGGGGGGAATGTGAGATAGAAATGCAGTAAATGACTGCATGAATGTTCTCCATCCCCACACCAATAAAAGTTCAGGACTCTGATCATATCTTACCTGCACGGGATTAACGGTGCCCAAAATGCTTTTTGTGCAGCTGCAGTAAACATGATTTGCCAGTTAAGCTTTCTGTTCTGGAGGAGGCGGGTGTCCAGTGGGCATCTCCACCTGGGCAGGTGCTTGGCGGTGGTTGTCTCAGGGTGGGGGGGTGGAGCTGAGGTATTCCGGTGGCTGCTTTGGTCCTCTGAGATGAAACCTAGGTGGAGGGAGAAGGGTTGTCCTATTACTGGCTTTCTAAACAGAGGCAGGACCAGGGGGAGTGCTGCATGGAGGTTGCTGTTAGGAGTCTCTTGACACTCTTGCATCGCACGGGGTTGGGCTAGATGACCTTTGGGGGTCCCTCCCAACTCCATGATTCTGCCTTCTTTGTGGGAGGGGAGTTGTGCATTGGAATGCAGGCCCATAAGGAAATGTGAACCAGAAGGGCGGTGCAAATTGAGGCAGAATCTGGCAGGGTTTTGTATGCTAAAGAAAAAGTAAGTTGGACTGGTTTCTGTGTCCTTTACACGGTGCAAATATTTTTGTTGGTCATGCACCATTTATCCCGATGTGGAGTTAAAGCTCCAAAATGCTGGGAGTCCTTTTCACACACACACGCGCGTGCACACACACACACACACACACACACACACACACACACCATCATCATCATCAATTATTCCTAGCCTGGCAGCCGTGGAATCATAGAATGGTGGGGTTGGAAGGGATCTCCAGGGATCATCTAGTCCAACCCCCTTCAATGCAGGAATCTCAGCTGAAGTACCCCTGACAGATGCCCACCCAATGGAGGGCCCAGCTCCTTTTGAGGTAACGCAAGCCACTGTCACACAGCTCTTACTGTCAGAAAGTTCTTCTAATGTTTAGCTGGCATCTCTCATTTGAATCTACAGTGGTACCTCGGGTTAAGAACTTAATTCGTTCTGGAGGTCCGTTCTTAACCTGAGGTACCACTTTAGCTAATGGGGCCTCCCGCTGCCACCTCATCCTGAGGTAAAGTTCTTAACCTGAGGTACTATTTTTGCGTTAGCGGAGTCTGTAACCTGAAGCGTCTGTAACCTGAAGCATCTGTAACCCGAGATACCACTATACTGGTTCAGGTCCCAACCTCTGAAGGAGCTGCAGGTGTCAGTCTTGCTCAAACTTCCAAGTGGTTTGTTGTTGTTTAGTCATGTCCGACTCTTCCTGACCCCATGGACCAGAGCACGCCAGGCACTCCTGTCTTCCCCTGCCTCCCACAGTTTGGTCAAACTCATGTTGGTAGCTTCAAGAACACTGTCCCACCATCTCGTCCTCCGTCGTCCCCTTCTCCTTGTGTCCTCCATCTTTCCCAACATCAGGGTCTTTTCCAGGGAGTCTTCTCTTCTCATGTGGTAGCCAAAGTATTGGAGCCTAAGCTTCAGAATCTGTCCTTCCAGTGAGCACTCAGGGCTGATTTCCTTCAGAATGGATCGGTTGGATCTTCTTGCAGTCCATGGGACTCTCAAGAGTCTCCTCCAGCACCATAATTCAAAAGCATCAATTCTTCGGCGATCAGCCTTCTTGATGGTCCAGCTCTCCCTTCCATACATCACTACTGGGAAAACCATAGCTTTAACTTATACGGATCTTTGTTGGCAAGGTGATGTCTCTGCTTTTTAAGATGCTGTCCAGGTTTGTCATTGCTTTTCTCCCAAGAAGCAAACCTGCTTTTAAGAATTAATAATAACAGTAGCGATTGAGCCCCTCTGATATCAGATCCAGCAGCTTTTGGCCTCTTCCCCTGAACAGACGGATGTGTTCAGAACCTGTGCAGAGGAACCAAAGCACAGGTCTCAGGAGGAGCCAATCCCTTCACCCTTGCCCTGGGGTGCAAATATTCTTTGGCTTCCAGTCCCGATTTCAAAGCAGTGAGCGGCTCTGCATGAGTGCTGAGGGCAGAAGAGGGCAGCAGCCAGCTGGCACCCATCCCTGGCATGGCTCCCCTTCTCACGCCTTGGAGATGTTCTCAGCTCCCAACAGCCCGAGGGGGCAGCCTCCGCCATCCTGAGGAAGCAGAAAGGGCTCTCCACGCAGCTGCACTGCCCTACTGGGGTATGGGGCTGTAGCAGCCCACGCCTGGGCAGTCCCAGCAGTTCAAAAGTGGAAACAGATCTCTTAGGAGGGCCTTTGCCCAGGACTGATGGGAGTTGTAGTCTGAAACCGCTAGAAGGCCTCCTGGCTGGGGGAAAGGGTGTGTTCGAAGGAACAGGCAGCACCTGGCTCTGCCCTGGGGCAAAGGGCAGATTTTGGTTCCACAGGTGCATATCTGGTATGTGTGTGTGTTAGGGAAGAGAGAATCCATGTTCTTAGCCACAGGCAGAGGTTGCAGTGGCAATGCTTCAGAGCTTTGGCGGAGCGGCTGCTGTCCTTTCAGCAGGGATCATACCCTGTCCCTCTTTTTTGTGTAAACAAGAACACAGCTGGCTGGTCTTTCTTTCTTTCCTTCCTTCCTTCCTTCCTTCCTTCCTTCCTTCCTTCCTTCCCCTCTCTCCCTCTCTCTGTGTGTTCACACTTTGTGGCTAAATTTAGCTTTCTAAACAGCTTGCCCTGTGTAATAATTCATGGATTGATCAAGAGGTCACAGCTTAACGGGGACCAAGTGGTTGCCTGGGGCGGGGGCTGTTCTTGCCTGCTTGCTGCCTTCAACCCTGGACCCAAGGTTGTGGGTGGGGGGAGGCTAGGCTAGGCTAATCCATCCTTCTGACTGAGTAGGTGGAGAGCAAAGTTCAGGGCAGGGTGGAGAAAGGCTACTGATGGAAGGTCAAGCAAGGAAGGCTTAAAACACAGCTGAGACTGACCTTGGGACCCGTGCCTCTGAGTGCATGAAGCAAATGCAGGCGCCTCTGAGGATGTGCAGAGTTCACACATCTGCACCCCATTGAGTAAGCACACCCTGCATTCCAAGACTGAGCCCTTCAAATCAAAGGATGAAATCAGAGGGCCTTCTTGGTAGTGGCGCCACCCTGTGGAACATCCACCCATCAGATGTCAAGAAAATAAGCAGCTATCTGACTTTTAGAAGACATCTGAAAGCAGCCCTGTTTTTAATGTCTGGTTTTTATTGTATTTTTAATATTTTGTAGCTACCCAGCTACCCAGAGTGGCTGGAGAAACCCAGACAGATGGGCAGGGTATAAATAATAAATTATTATTATCATCATCATTCGTCTGACTTTCTCTCCAAATGATTTTATTTGGGGTTTGGGGAGGGCTGTTTTGTTTGCTACAACACACACACAGAAACTGCTCCGTTCTGCTGCTCCGTTCAAAACCCGCTTTAATGAATATTTAAGTGGTGCAGCCACATCAGGGGCCGTTTCAGTCTGACGGCCCCCCCGCAAGTGGTCTTTGAACATTCCCACTGCAGGCCTAAGTTGCCTCTCTCCCTCCTGAGCTGAGATAAAAAAAGCCCAGCACATACGGTTGAGAGAGAGAGAGAGAGGAAGGAGGGGGAGGGACTTTGCAGTCTGCAATTAACAAAAATCAGGGTGGGCAATGCAGCAGGAGGCTTTGGGTGCAAATGGTTGCATTTACAAATTGACCAGCATGAAATCTAGAGGTGGAAATTGGATAGGTATTTTTATCTACTCGCCATGTGACAGGGCTGCTGTCGTGACCTTTCCCCCCACCAACTGCAAAGGTGTGGTGTGCAAAGCCTTGGGGCCAAGCTGGATGGCAACTGGCCACCCTAACGCACCTCTCTGCCCTCTTCCTTCCCGCAGTATGAATTTAAGGCCAAGAACATCAAAAAGAAGAAGGTCAACATCATCATCTCGGTGGATGGAGTGAAAGTGATCTTGCGCAAGAAGCAGAAGGTGAGGAGTGGGGGCCTAGACGAGTCATGCTGGAGAGCTGGGAGGGGGCAGGGAAAGGGCCCCCGCCTTCTCATCCTGCAAAAAAACGATCAAGGGGATGCAGAGCAAACTCCCTTAGCAACCTTTGAGACTTCTTGGTTTGGAAAGAAGGGGAGGGGAGATTGTGAAAGTGTTGGAAATCATTGATTGCGAAAAATTGGAAAAGTGGTATTATACCGACAAAAGCAGAGTTCCTTGCCAAATTATTGGAGTATTGCAATATATCCAAAACAATGGGAGAAATTGGAAGGATCTCAAAAGAGAAGATAGACAGGGACTGGAAGGTGTTTAAAGGATACTTGCAAAACCATATTGAAAAATCAGAACTCCGATTAGAATAAACAAGTTCCGTTTTAAATACTGAAATACTAAATAAGATGGGTAACAATGTGTAACAGAAAAAGAAGCATGAAATTAGGTTAAAGGTGTGTGAAAGAAAGTAATAGAAGTGGAAAGAAATTGCAATTGAGTAGATTGGAAGTCTAACACAAAGGTGGGGTGAGGGGTGGTGGATGGTGATGGGAAAAGGAAATATCTGTGGGATTGAGTGTAGGTATGTTTGAACATTTTTAAGGATTGTATGAAATGTATGTTTGTATGCTTGTATATTCTCAATATGTGTGTATTAATGCTGAATTATTTTAATAATAAAAACTTTTCAAATAAATAAATAAATAAAATCATGCATGAGGTTGAAGAAGTAGATGGACCTTTCATTTCCCTCTCTACTAATTCTAGAAACTAATGGGGTCCTCCGGTGATGCTGAGTGCTGGGAGATTCAGGACAGGCGAAATAAAGTACACAGTTAAACTGTGGAACTCACGTCCACAGGAGGCAGAGATGGCCACCAACTTAGATTGCATTAAAAGGGCGCTAGGCAAATTCATGGAGGAGGAGAGGGCTATACTAATTCTTTGTTCCTGTCTGCAGAGAAAGGAGTGGGCCTGGGATGAGGGCAAGATGGTGGTCATGCACGACCCGGTTTACAGGTAGGTTGCTGCGGATTCTCTACTTGCACGCAAGGATCCAGCGCGGCTCCAAAGTGTAATATAGTATCAACTCATTCAAATATCCCCTTTGCAAACAAATAAGATTTATAAAAATAAATGGTGTTGTCCACCTGTGAGTTCCATTGTTTTTGAGAATGGAGGTTCTGTGTACTCTTAAAGGAACCAGACTTTCATATATACTGGTGGCAGTGAGTGGCCTTAATAACTATGATAAATAAAAACACAACATATATGCAAAGCTGCCCTATTCTTCCAGATTGGCCAGAGATGACAAGGAGCAGATTGACCCCTGCCCCTTTGGTGGGCTAAAAGGTGGCCACTAGTGGCTCAGCTCCCTTCAGTTGCCCCCCTGCCCATTGGGCACATATGGGTCCTGCTGTCCTCAATAGGGAATGCCAACCTAGCCTCCGTTCCAGCTGGTCTCCGCAGTGCCAGCTGGCCTCTCTGTCTCTGCTGGTGCAAATTCCTGGGGTTCCCCTGCTGACCCACCCAGGCAGTCCCTGACAGCTGTCCTCTGCACTACCAGATTGGCAAAGCTGCTAATTTGGTCCAGGTGGCTCAATCCCCTAAGCTGGTAATTGCTTCCACCTCATTGGAGCAAATCTGAAGGACAATCTGCCCAGCATTCCTGGGAAACAAGGGAAGGATTTGGCACAGTGCAAGTCAACTCCCTTGGGATGAGGTGGTGCTGTGGGTTAAACCCCAGAGCCTAGGACTTGCCGATCAGAAGGTCGGAGGTTTGAATCCCCGCGACGGGGTGAGCTCCCGTTGCTCGGTCCCTGCTCCTGCCAACCTAGCAGTTCGAAAGCACATCAAAGTGCAAGTAGATAAATAGGTACCACTCCAGTGGGAAGGTAAACGGTGTTTCTGTGCGCTGCTCTGGTTCGCCAGAAGCAGCTTAGTCCTGCTGGCCACATGACCCAGAAGCTGTACGCCGGCTCCCTCGGCCAGTAAAGTGAGATGAGCTCCACAACCCCAGAGTCGTCCGCGACTGGACCTAATGGTCAGGGGTCCCTTTACCTTTACCTTAAGGCAACTCCCAAGCTATGCTGTTACCATTCCCCTGTGGCCAGGACTTTGGAGACGCTTTTTCCTCTGGTTCACTTTGCGGACCTCCTCTCCTCAGGATCTTCTACGTCTCTCATGATTCCCAGGACCTGAAGATATTCAGCTACATCGCCAGGGATGGCGCAAACAACTCTTTCCGGTGCAACGTCTTCAAATCCAAGAAGAAGGTGGGCTGGCTTGAGCGGGGGGCCCTTTGCCACGGGACCTCCTCCTTCCCCACCACTGCTGCTGCCTTTAACTCCCCCCGTCTCTCCTCGTGCTAAGGTGGGCCTTCTCTCTCCCCACAGACGCAGGCCATGCGTGTGGTTCGGACAGTGGGCCAGGCCTTCGAGGTCTGTCACAAGCTGAGCCTCCAACATGCCCTGCAGAACGCCGATGGCCAGGCAGATGGAGCCAGCAACAACTCCGCGGATGACCCCCAGGTGGAAGGTGAGGGGTCTGGGTCAGATCTGAGTGGGCATTTCAAAAGGGTTGGGGCCTGGTTTCTTAATATTTAAATTTAAAATACCTGCCTGGTGGTAGCCTTTCTCCTCGGAAGGAGGAGGATAAACACTGACTGGTTTTTGAAGCTTCAGGGGGCACCCAAAAGAAGATGAGAGCGTGGTGTTTGGTGTTTGTTTGTTTATTTAAATAACTATTACTTCTTTGTTATTTCATACATTTTATGTATGATTAGATGTTAGGGAGCATAGAATCATAGAACTGTAGTATTGGAAAGGAGCTCCTGGTGGAGTACAGGGTCAGGTTCAAGGTGCTGGTTTTGACCTTTAAAGCCCTATATGGCCTAGGACCCACGGACCTGCGGGACCACCTCTCCCGGTATGCCCTGCAGAGGACCTTAAGGTCCATAAATAGCAACACCCTAGTGGTCCCTGGCCCTAAGGAAATCAGATTAGCTTCAACCAGAGCCAGGGCCTTTTCAACACTGGCTCCGGCCTGGTGGAACGCTCTGCCTCATGAGACCAGGGCCCTGCAGGATCTGATTTCTTTCCGTGGGGCCTGTAAGACAGAGTTGTTCCGCCTGGCCTTTGGCTTGGGATTAACTTGATCCTCTCCCCCTCTTTCCTTTTCTTTCTGTGATGGAACTCCTATTTGGGGACTTGCGTGGCTTTTTTCTGGCCCTCGTAGGACCAGTCTGGATAGTTGGCCTTGGTGAAGATTTGACGTTTTCATCCCCCAAAAGTTTTTGATTTGAGTTTCCACTGAAATGAGGCTGCATTTTAATGTTGTATTTTAATCTTGTTTTTTAAGTTGTATTTCAATCAATTGTTTTATATCTGGTGTTAGCTGCCCTGAGCCCGGTCTTGGCTGGGGAGGGTGGGGTATAAATAAAATTTATTATTATTATTATTATTATTATCATTAAGGCTCATCCAGTCCAACCCCCCCCCCCCGCAGGAATCTCAGCCAAAGCACCCATGACCTATGGCCATCCAGCCTCTGCTTCAAAACCTCCAAGGAGAGCCCAGCTCCTCCTGAGGGAGACCGTTTCACTGTTGAGTGGTTCTTACTCTCAGAGAGTTCTTCCTGGCGTTTAGTTGCAAATCCTCAAAGCACCTTTTTTCTTGCATTGATGTCCCCACTCCTCATTCAAATCCTCAGAACACCCCTGCAAGGTAGTTTAGGCTGAGAGTCAGTCGTTGGCCCCCAAGGTCACACTGAGTGAACTTCATGGCCATTGGGGGTGGGTGGGGGAAGATAGATTTGGACCCTGGTCTCTCACGTCCATCCTGACCATCTAACACATTAATTCGTGTTTTTAAAAAATCCAAAGCTATGTGCAAGAGGAGCTTCTTCTTGTTGTTGTTTTTAAATAACCGCACGTAGAACAAGAACATATAACAAATGATGCGGAGGATGTCAGCTCCAGGAAACTTGCAAGGGTATTGGTACTTCAAGACCTGGACCATTGCATTAATGGGAAAAGTTAACAAAATATACCTGAACCTTAAAAAGGTAAAGGTAAAGGGACCCCTGACTGTTAGGTCCAGTTGTGGCCAACTCTGGGGTTGCGGTGCTCATCTCGCTCTATAGGCCAAGGGAGCCTTCGTACAGCTTCCGGGTCATGTGGCCAGCATGACTAAGCCGCTTCTGGCGAACCAGAGCAGCGCACGGAAACGCCGTTTACCTTCCCGCCAGAGTGGTACCTATTTATCTACTTGCACTTTGACGTGCTTTCGAACTGCTAGGTGGGCAGGAGCAGGGACTGAGCAACGGGAGCTCACCCCGTTGCGGGGATTCGAACCGCCGACCTTCTGATTGGCAAGTTCTAGGCTCTGTGGTTTAACCCACAGCGCCACCCGCATCCCTGAACCTTACACCACCCAAAAATGAAGGACAACTTTGTAAATTATGCTTGGCACCCGATTACCAAATGTACTAAAAATAAAAGGGACCTCATTGGCAGCTGCCCTCTTCTCAGTGGAGTTCTCTGGAAAAACATTATTGGATAATATGCAGTGCTGTTTTCGGAATGCTACCAACTCCCTCCTCGTTTCCGTCCTTTCTTTCCTCCCCCTCCCCACTTTCTTCCTTGGATTATTTCCCTCACTCTTTATTACCGTTGTTATTGCTTTCCATGCATTAGGAAATGAAAATAAAAACAAATGTGGGCCAGGGGGGAATGATATAGATTCTGATATAGTACAGTTCTGTTGTTTTATCAAGTTTCTGCTGGACATGGCTGGGCTCAGCCCTGTGGGAAGTTTTGTCTGAATTGACAGAAAGCCTTCATTTGGAGCTGAAGCCCCAGTAAGCATCAGCAATGTCTAGGAAACACGATGACTATGTACATACGCGAGAGACAATCTTTATAGAATTCCTTCAAACCATAAGAAGTACAAAATGAAATCTTTAGTCTCAAAGTCTCTGAAAATCTTTAAATGAAGCGAGGTACCAGACTTTGTACGATGAAAGACAAGCTGTGAAGCTTTGTGTATTCAATGAATATGTCCAACACTGAACAGTGGTTCTGGATATTGACTACTGGTTTCGTAGAATTCTTCGTCAGCGTGGTGGGAGGATATAGAATTGCTTCATAAACCCATCTTATTTCGAATGAATGTATGTAAATGCTGTGGAACAGTGCTCATGTAATAATGTAGTCACATTATTGACTACATTATTACATGAGCAGTGTTCCACAGCATTTGATATTTTCATTTATACACATTGACTACTTCTTATGGTTTGAAGGAATTCTGTAAAGATTGTCTATCACGTATGTACATGGTCATCGTGTTGCCTAGACATTGCTGACGTTCTCTTTGCAACACAGAAGCCCCGGTAAGTTCAACCCCTGTCTAAATGTACCTGGAAGTGGGAAGCACCATGTTGTCTTCTCTTGGCTGAGTTGATAAAGGAGTTCCTGCATGAGGTTGAAATCGGGGGCCACCTTCAAGGCAACGCTCTCCCAGGTTGCAAGGCAGCCCCCCTCCCCCCACACAAGATGGGCTCCCTCGCCCTTGGGAGAGTGACCCCCCCCCCCGCTCTCTGTTGTTGTGTCACTTCCAAGGTTTCCAGCTGGCTGGGGCGGCAATGGCTGACGAAGAAAACGGCCCTGAGGGAGCGTTCGCACCTGACTTTGGAGCCTGCGAGCTGCGTTTGGCTGCACCCAACCTAGGGGTCCCACAATCTGGGATGATTCTGAAGGACCGGAGCAGCCAGGTAAGAGCCCAGTGCAATGTTTTTTCTCCCTCCGATGAGGCCCAGAAGAGCATGAACAGGTACCTCCACTTTGCAACTGTGTTCTGCCCTCTCAGCCACCCCTGCAAGGTAGATTAGGCCGAGAAAGAGTGGCTGGACCAAGCTGGCCATACTACATGCTAGAAAAATGCAACCTGTGCTGCTGAGAGAAGTTGTACAACTCATGCAACACGTTGGCGATTAATATACACAGAATAATTATACATACCGTATTTTTCGCTCTATTAGACGCACTTCTCCCCTCCTAAAAAGTAAGGGGAAATGTGTGTGTGTGTGTTTTGCAGTGAATGCAGGCTGCGCAGCTATCGCTGAAGCAAGAAGATCCCTCTTGCTCTCCTGGCTTCAGGGATAGCCACACAAAGCCTCTTGAGCAAAGAGGGAGCACTCCTCCCTCTTCGCTCAGGAGGCTTTGCGTTGCTTTCTTGTTTCTTGTTTTCCTCTTCTAAAAACTAGGTGCGTCTTATAGAGCGAAAAATACAGTACTTCATCAACCTTCTGAGAAAACCCCAAAACATTAAACAAAGCCACAAAGACTTGCGAACTACCCAGCCTATAATGTCTGGTTTCAATAGATTTTTCAAATGCTTAACTCAGTCTTTTAGATAAGTTCATGAAGATACCAACAAAAGGTAAGTTTGGTGATATTCACAATACCGAGAGATGCTAGTAGAGTTGTAGAGACAGGGTGCCGGCGTTTTGCACCTGTTTCGCCCTGGCAGTCCAAGTAATCAAGAGGCCGCTGTCCGCCCCCGATGGGGCCCTTTAACTGGGGCTTGCAGGTAGCACACTCCCAAGATAGTTTTACAGGCTTCTTCAGTGGTCTAATCTCAAAGTCTTGATATGTATATTGATATTCAATCTTATAGAGAATACTCTTTCTTGGCTTAAGCTTAAGAGACTTTGAGATTAGACCACTGAAGAAACTGCGCATGCACAGAAGTTTTCTGCGCTCTTCGCGCATGCACAGAAGCATTTTGCACGCTTCGCACATGCGCAGAGGCGCTCTATCTCGCTCTCGTGCTTGCACAGAAGCGCTGCTCTAGTTGCGGACTTTTTGGGGTGCAAACGGCACCCCGGAACGGTTCGTGTCCGCAACTAGAGTTACCACTGTAAATAGGTTCAGCTGGATTTTGGATATATGTGCAATTGCTACTGTTATGAGTTTTATAGTGTTGCTGTTGTCCTTAGTCGGCCATGCAAACTGCTACTCTGAATAAGGCTATCTGCAGGGTAATGTAGGGGGTCCTGGCAGGGGTGAAACTAGGCTTTATTTCACCTAGGTCAAAGACCCCGTTTGGCATACACACACCAACGCGCATTTGCGTACACACATACCCAGGCTGGGAGCCTCGGTGGCAGCCATCTGGGGGCTTCACCTGGGGCAAAAACCTGGTTAGCCTTTCCCTGTCTTAGCTCCAGCACTGGGTGTTCTAGGGATGAGTTTATGGAACCAAGGGAGAGGTGGTCCCAAAATATTTGGGGAGCACTGATTTAAGGTGTCTGTGAAGTCAAGATGATTAGCCCCTAGCCCACACTTTCTCAGTGAGGCAGAGGCCAGACGTGGGGGCACCACTCCTGCCCTCCACCTCTACAAACATTTGGGGCTAGGGGCCAAACCTAGAGAAGAGATAGGATTTTATTTTTAAAATCTATACAAAGTGGGGTTTTTTGTTTTTTTTTATTTGTTCATAGAAGTTCAAACTATAACAATAAGCACATTATGTTCTTATTGTCAGGAAGTGGTTCCCCATTTGTGGAATACTCTCCCTAGGGAGGCTCACCTGGTGCCTTCATTATACACCTTTAGGCATCAGGTGAAATGTCCCTTGAGACCCAGTGTGGCGTAGTGGTTAAGAGCAGTGGACTCGTAATCTGGTGAACTGGGTTCGCGTCTCCACTCCTCCACATGCATCTGCTGGGTGACCTTGGGCCAGTCACACTTCTCTGAAGTCTCTCAGCCCCACTCACCTCACAGGGTGTTTGTTGTGGGGGAGGAAGAGAGAGGAGATTGTTAGCCGCTTTGAGACTCTTTCGGGTAGTGATAAAGCGGGATATCAAATCCAAACGCTTCTTCCCTCTTCAGCCAGGCCTTGGGCTGATTAACATTCCATGTCCTTTTAAATGGGGGTGGGGTTATTGGTCTGTTTTGTTCTTATGCTTATTATGTATTTCATATTTTTATCTTGTGATCTTTTTGCTGCGAGCTGTCCTGAGATCTTTGGAAGAAGGGTTGTATGCAAGCTACATAAGTAAACAATCCATTTTGTGCAAACAATAATTGCATAAATTCACAAAAATCAGGGATAATTTGTGTCTCGGGTAATGACTACTACTGAAACAGGAGTGCTGGTTGTCAGGAGCTCGTCCTACACTTGAGTACACTCCTCTTCCTTTCGTTCAGCACTTTTTATCTAATCTTTTGACAACCATTCACAATAATCAGCAGAACTACTCCAGGGAGAGAGAAAAAAGTATTTTTAAAAAGGCTTCGCGTCATGACATTCTGCAAGAAATATGTGGAGGAGCTGCAAATCGCTTGGGCAGCCAGCAGTTCTCTTTGTGTGGCACGAATATGTGTTGTAGAAGGGAAGGTGTGGAGGGGGTTCCTGATTGTCCCCTCCTTTTCGCCCCATGCTGGATTCCAGGAAAATGAGACCGGGTCGCTCCGCCCTTCCTCCGCACAGCCGCTGGGCAGTCCTGCAAGCCCCAGCTCCTCCGCCTCAGTGACCCCGCTGGCCTCCCAGCACTGCCTCCAGCTCCTCCAGCACCAGCTCCTTCAGCAGCAGCAGCAGACGCAGGTGGCTGCGGCTCAGGTAACTATGCCCCTACCTGTCTGGCAACCACCTGACTGCACTTTCTTTGACCAGTTTTCAGCAGGTCACCACCCACGCCATTCCCCATTCCTCTTCTGCATTACAGTGTGTGTGTGTGTGGGTGGGTGGGTGGGTGGGTGTGTGTGGGTGTAAGAGAGAGAGGGAGAGCGCAACTAACTTCTTCCCCAAAATGCCCCATGTAGGATGTTGTTGTTGTATTTTCATCCTGGCTTTTCGCCAGGTGACTCACACAAATTAAAGCAATTCAGGTAAAAAGCTAAAATCATGCAAAATGCAAATAGTTAAAAAGCAATTAAACTCTAAATAGAATAAAAGCAGTGCAGAAGAATGGGTTTTGGAAGCTTGAAAGCAAACTCTGCTTGCAACAGCATGTAAGTGCTTGTGTGTGTGTGAGTATGCATATATGCATATATTTATAATATAATAAAGGGGATAAAATATGATAGATGGCTCAAAAGGAAAGGAAACCAAAACCAACGCGCCTCTGACAAATCCGCTGTGGAGGAGAACTTTATTGATAGCTGTCACAATGCCTAGTTGGAAACTCTGTGTTCAGAGTTTCCCTGAACTGGAGGCAAAAGCAGCAGAGAATGGCTGTCGTCTGCCTGCGTATGGGTTGCCCAGTGGTACCTCTAGCTGACCACCGTTAGAAGCAGAGAGTCGGGTTCAAAGGATGCATTGGCCTGATCCAGCAGGGCCCCAGGTGGCTTCACTCAGCCCTCTCAGCTCATGAGACCCTCTCATCGTGTCCCCCCCCCACCTCCCGGCAGGTGCAGCTACTGAAAGACCAGCTGTCAGCCGAAACCACAGCCCGCGTTGAAGCTCAGGTCCGTGTCCGGCAGCTCCTGATGACCAACCGCGACCTCCTCCAGCACGTCTCCTTGCTAGTGAGGCAGCTCAAGGAACTAGAGATCAAGGTGCACCTGCGACATCCAGGTGAGTGACCGGAGGAGTCTGGAGGGGGCGTGTCTCCATGGAGGGTCACTCAAGGGCCTCTCTCTGGTGCCCAGTGATGCACCTGATCCTCCCTCTCTCTGCATTATCCTCCTAAGAACCCTGACAGGTAGCTTAGGCTCAATAAAATTAAAACGGTTTGTAAAGTAAGTTTGCATGCAACACCAGAAGGTACCCAATTATTGCCATTGTATAATTACTATAAAAGGGCTGTATAACCTTAGAAAGTTGTATAGTCTGAGAAAGAGGGTGGCTGTGCGGGGCATGGCTGCGACTGCCATGAAGGGACCCTGAGCTTCTGAATTCGCCACAGCACTACTGCAATGCAGTGCAGAATTAGAGCAATGGATGTGCTCAGTGGCTGGTGTGGCTTTGCGAGTTCTATCAAATAAATGGCTTTATATCCTGATGGATGGGACATGGGTGGCGCTGTGGGTTAAACCACAGAGCCTAGGATTTGCTGGTCAGAAGGTCGGCGGTTCGAATCCCCACTACGGGGTGAGCTGTACAGGTGAGGTGTACAGGAGTTCCTGGAAGCTGTATGCCGGCTCCCTTGGCCAGTAAAGCGAGATGAGTGCCACAACCCCAGAGTTGGTCACGACTGGACCTAATGGTAAGGGGTCCCCTTACCCTTTACCTTTATCCTGATGAATAGATGGAGCCTCCAGGTGCAGAGACAGTCTGCCACGGAATACCAGATAAAGGTAAAGGGACCCCTGACCATTAGGTCCAGTCGTCGGTGCTCATCTCGCTTTACTGGCCTAGGAAGCTGGCGTACAGATTCCAGGTCATGTGACCAGCGTGACTAAGCTGCTTCTGGCGAACCAGAGCAGTGCACAGAAACACCGTTTACCTTCCCGCCGGAGCGGTACCTATTTATCTACTTGCACTTTGAGGTGCTTTCGAACTGCTAGGTTGGCAGGAGCAGGGACCGAGCAACGGGAGCTCACGCCGTTGCGGGGATTCGAACCGGCGACCTTCTGATTGGCAAGTCCTAGGTTCTGTGGTTTAACCCACAGTGCCACCCGCGTCCCTTCGAATACCAGATACTGGGGGCATAAAACAGGGCCAGGGAGGGCTATTGACCTACACCCACAGCTTGGGGGCTTCCCAGGAGCCTCTGTGGGAAGCCTTTGGTCTCAGACAACAGGCACGGACACTCCATCCTTGTGTTGTTACCTATCTACCATTCCCCCCCCCCTTGCTTTTAGTTGACCGTTCGCTGCAGAACCTGACGCTGGCTCAGTCGCTCTCCCTCAACTTGAAGAACCACTACAGCCTTGAAATCAACCTGCCATCCACCTCGACACCGGCCAGCGTCCTGGGCAGCCCTGTGGCACAGATGGGCAGCGCTTGCGAGTCTTACCTGAATCTGTCCAACCTGGAGAAGGGAAGCCAGCTGAGCCACTGGGCAGAGAGCGAGGAGCACCTGGCAGTCCTGGAGGGGCCAGACGGCCTCCGCAGCGTTGAGGGGTCTGAGGCCGCAGACTGTGCGGTGCTGGGAAGAACCAGCCGGCAGAAGAGCAGCAACCTGGGCACTCCGGCACAGGAGGAGAGGTAGGGGAGTCTTGGCGTAGAGTTGCTCATAATCAACCCACGTCTGGGCCCATGCGAGGCAAATTGCACAGCTTGGTTCTTAGCACCGTGCGGTGGGAAAGGGCGATGGGCTGCCATACATGCAGATTTTTGCAGTTTCGCAGCTGTTCTGCCAGCACCAATGACGCTGTCACACCCATTGGTCTGCTCTCATAGAATCAGAACTGGAGGTATCGCCAAGGTCATCTACAAGTGAAACTCGAAAAATTAGAATATCGTGGAAAAGGTCGTTTCTTTCAGTAATCCAACTTGAAAGGTGAAACTAATATATGAGATCGACTCATGACATGTGAAGCGAGATCTGCTTCTACTTCTCAGAGGTCCAATCTTGCTCGATTTGCAATCCCTGTTTTGCTGATTTCCTTGAATATTCTAATTTTCTGAGATGGTTAATTTGGGGTTTTCATCAGCTGTACGCCATGATCATCACAATTATAGCAAATCAAGGCTTGACATATCTCGCTCTGCATGTCATGAGTCCATCTTTGCATGTCATGAGGTAATATTTCTGGGTTAGCGGAGTCTGTAACCTGAAGCATATGTAACCCGAGGTACCACTGTATATTAGTTTCACCTTTGAAGTTGAATTCGTGAAAGAAAGGAACTTTTCCACGATATTCTAATTCTTCGAGTTTCACCTGTAGTCCCAACCCCCTGCAATGCAGGAATCTTAGCCAACGATTCCCTGACACAGGACCATCCAACTTCTGATTAAAACCCTCCAGTCACCTTCAGAGGGAGTCCGTTCTACTGTTGATTGGCTCTTACCCTCACAAAGTTCTTCCTAATATTGAGTTGGAATCTCCTTTCTTGCAATTTGAATCTATTGGTTTTGGGTCCCTCCAGAGCAGCGGAAAACAAGCTTGTTCCATCTTCTGTGAGTCAGCCCTTAATTGATATTTGACGACAGCTATCGTATCCCCTCCCAGTCTCCTCTTCTCCAGGCTAAACATCCCAAGCTCTGCCAACCATTCCTCATAAGGCTTCTAGACTCTTGCTCATCTCAGCCTCCCCTGCAGATCTGGCCTTGGTTAGCGGAATTTGGGGAAGCTTCAAAAGCCAGCATACAGGTGAACCTCGAAAAATTAGAATATTGTGGAAAAGTTCATTGATTTCAGGAATTCAACTTGAATGGTGAAATGAATATATGAGATCGACTCATGACATTCAAAGCGAGATCTGCTTCTACTTCTCAGAGGTCCAATCTTGCTCCATTTGCAATCCTTGTTTTGCTGATTTCCTTGAATATTCTAATTTTCTGAGATTGTTAATTTGGGGTTTTCATCAGCTGTACGCCATGATCATCACAATTATAGCAAATATAGGCTTGACATATCTCGCTTGGCATGTCACGAGTCGATCTCATATATGAGTTTCACCTTTTAAGTTGAATTCCGGAAATCAAGGAACTTTTCCATGATATTCTAATTTTTCGAGTTTCACCTGTATGTGGTCAGCTGTTTTGCTCACAGATGGCTGGGGGGGGGGGACTTTTCTCAGCCCAAAGGCCACGTTTCCTCCTGAGCAGCTTTCAAGGGCCCACATGGCCAGAGGCCGAAGTGGGTGGAGCCATGGATGTGGCTGACCCCTTCACACAGAACCCTATAAATGCAGCTTCACCACAGCCAGAGATTCCTATGCTCCCACCTGCCCCATCTCTCTACCTATCCAGTCAGGTGAGAGGCACCACCCCGATTTGAGGACACATCCCAGCCAAGAAAAACCCCTTTCTCAACACAGGACGGTCACATCTTGCACAATTATGCTCTCTGCCTTGCTTACCGGTCAAGTCCTGTTCAGTTCACAGGCTCTGGGTGCTCTTGTGAGATCTTGCTTAAAATCTCTTTCCACACCAGGGGAAAGAATGCAAAAAGAGTTTTAAAGCTCTCTGCCTTGTATGCAGTTAATTTGTGCAGTTTCGACTGGGGGCTTTCAACCATGCAAGGTTAAAGTTGTGCAAGTTAGTTGCACGCAGGAAGCGATTATACTGTATGCTGGTTTAGTAATGGAGAATGCAAAACCTGGTTAGCTTTGGGAGAGGTGTGCTGCCCCAAGGTAGCACCCAGCTACTGTTTGCTAGAATTGCAAAGTTGTGGGGGCTGCTACTGAAATCTCACTACAGGCAAGCCAGGGAAGGGGCTGCTACTCAAGGCTGGAACAGCTGCTTTGCATGCAGAATGTCCCTGGGTCAATTCCTGGGCAGCACCTCCAATTTAAAAGAACCTCGAGGCTGCACTGCTGCAATGTGCTCTGTGTGGGGCTGCCCTTGGGTCTGGTTCTGAGGCTCCAGCGACTGCAGAATGCGGTGGCCAGATTGCTGGTGGGGTCACCTGGCCGACAATGTGTGACACCCTTGTTGAGGCATCTGCACTGGCTGCCCATCTGCTACTGAGCCAGGGTCAAGGCCCTTGTATTAATTCACAAAGCCCTGGGCAACTTGGGTCCAGGGTACCTAGGGAGCGCCTGAACCCTTATATCCCAGCTTGAGCACTCAGATCATCAGCAGGAGCGTTGCTGGTCATTACCTCGGTTGGTGAGGCTAATTTGACAACAACAACAAACAAAGCCTTTGGTGTCCATCAGCCCAGCCTTGTGGAATACTCTGCCACTAGAGATTCAGCAAGCGTTTTCTGTTTCAGCTTTTAAATGCCTGCTGAAAACTTGGCCTGTGCAGGTAATTAAGAATACATCGTTCCACAGTAGTTGGCTGATTTCTGATCTTAGCAATCTTACATGGTTTTTATTGTATGATTTTATCTATAGTTGTTGTGAACTGCTCTGATATATCTATATTTTTTAAATGAGTAGGGGAATACAAATAAAATATACTGTATTTTTCCATGTATAAGACTAGGGTTTTTTTTTCACCAAAAAATTAGGTTTAAAATTGGGGCTCGTCTTATACACAGGTAGTGTTGAGGGTTGTTTTCTTAATTTGGAGGCCCCCCCAAAAGGGGGCGTCATATACATGGGGTCATCTTATACACGGAAAAATACGGTATATATTATTTTTATTTTATTTTATTTCTTATTAAGTTTGTCAAACGCCCTTTATCCGAAGATCACAGGGTCGTTCACAACATAGACTTATTTATTTGTAGAATTGTTTCTCTGCCGAACATCAGGGCAGTGTGCAAAATCACGAGAAACCTTTGAAAGCCACCCAAAGCCACCCATCCATTCTCCGTTTGACAGGTTGCAACCCCTCATCCCCAAGCTGAACCCACCCCCTCCAACCCTGAGGAGGAGGTCAAGCAAAACCACCTCGCCCAGCCTAGAAGCAGAGACGGACGCCACAGCAGCAGCCACCAGCACCACCACCTCTGGGCCCGGCCACAGCGCCTCCACGCTCACCAGCATCACCATCTTCTCCCTGGCCAGCTTGGAGTCTGAGCCCAGGACGCTGGGAAGAGGTCACACTTGCGGCCGTGCCGAAAACCAGGAGCGGGCTGGGGAGGGTGGACAGGCACCCCCGGCAAAAGGGGCCTTGGGACGACCCGAGAAAGGCCCCTCTAGGGATCTGGATGGCAGCTTGTCTCTCCGGCGTCCTTTCCTCTCCTCGGCTGGCAATGAAACCTGTTTGCGCATCAGTCTTTCGGAGGACGAGCTGGACACATCAGGGGCCTGCGTTGCTCGTGCATAAACCATGCACTTGGGGAGCAGGCTATTAGCTTGCACTGGTTGCCAGGCACAGATTGGGGGGTTAGAGGTGGCTTGTAGGGTGCTGCGGCGCCAGAGGGGAGTCTCTGAAATGGCCACCAGTGGAGGCTGGCAGTTCCGTAAGAGCAAAAGTGGGAGACTTTGAGCCAGAAGCCGTTCGGTCTCCAAAAGAAGCGAGCTGGGAGGGTCTCCTGCCTTTGTCTTCCACACAAGCAGAGGTCCTCAACAGACACCAGGAAATGACCAGAAGCCTTGACAAACTGGCTGACCTGGCATGGAGGAACACCTAAGGACCTCGTGTCACCCAGGGTACAAGCATCAGTAAACAACCAGGCGCAAGGTCCTCAGTCTCTGTGCCCCAGGGAAAGAGCTCAGCACGACTGGCTGAAATCTAGACTGTGTGCCACAGATTGTCGTCCCCCCCAGCCAAGAAAAGCTGCTTGCAGTTTTTGGGGGGCAAAAGAGGTAGGGAGAGGGAGGTCGTGGGTGGCCTGCAGCATTCGGCGTTGTGAGGCAAGGTTAGCACCTGAGCAGGGTGGGTGGTGGTTATCCCAATGGTCACTTCCAGAAGTCTCCCCTGGAATGAGAGGGATGCACACAGGTGAGATATGTCCAGTATTTTGAAGTCACTTGATATTAGAAGCCCAGCCCCCTTCCTGGTCGAGAGGGTCAAGAAGCCCCATCTTGGACACCCCTATGGGAACCAGTGCGAGGGCATCCTGTCTGCCATTTCCAGACTAGGCGGCGGCTGTTAAACCAGAGAGGGGCTGTGGTGGTGCCTTCCAAAGACCTTACCTCTAACCTACGGGGGGGGGATGGGGATGCTGAAGGTGCAGGAAGTTTGCACCTGAATGAAGGAGGGCCACCCTTCAGATTCCCCCCCCCCCCAATTTCCCCCACCTGCAGACCATCCCTTCCTTCAGCAGGAGTTTTGTGGCACAGATGCTCCTTTCGGTTTTATTTTATTCTGAGGCTGGAGAAATTAAGCATATTGGTGTTTCCTAGATCCTGAGGTAGTTATTATCATTTCTGTTTTCCTATTCCTTCTCAGTAGTGGCACCCACCCTGCGGAACGCCCTCCCATCAGATGTCAATGAAATAAACAGCTATCTGACTTTTAGAAGACACCTGAAGGCAGCCCTGTTTAGGGAAGTTTTTAATGTCTGATGTTTTATCACTTTAATATTATTATTATTATTATTATTAATTCGGTTGGGAGCCGCCCAGAGTGTCTGGGGAAACCCAGCCAGATGGGTGGGGTATGAATAATAAATTATTATTAAAATTGGTGAAATCCAAACAGTTTTGTTCTGAGTTGGAGGCACAAGAGTGAGAGAGTGCAGAAAGCAAATTCCAGGGCATGCCTGAGTGGTGGACAACAAAGTTTTACTCCGAGTAGACCCATCCCCAGAGGGTCTCACTGTTGGCAACTTGTTCTGCCACGCATCATATTGCACGCTCACAGGGGCGTTGAAGGAGATTCCCCGCCCCCCCCCCCCGGCCATCTGTGCAAAGTAAAACACTGGAATTGGGGACCAGGCTGGTTTTTCCAAAAGAGAAAAATAGAGAAGGCCCTTGCCTGTACATTTTACCTCATCCATCAGGTTCTGTGGAATGCTGCAAACCTAGTCTTTCTTTTAAAGCGAAAGCTGGAAATTGGGGGCTGTGGGTCATCCAGAGGAGGGGGCACAGCTGTCTCCTCCCCACAGGGGATGCTCAGAAGGGTGGAAATGGGTTGTTTTTGTTTCAGAAACAAAACTCATCAGCCATGCAAGAGAGGATGGAAACTGTAATGTTTGGTCACAGAGAGAGCGAGAGTGGAGGAGGACCAGGAGTAGGTTGCTGAAAGGATGAGTTTGAGAAGAGGGAGAGTTAAATTTGGGGCCAGGTGGGAATGCAGTCAGGAGAACTGGACAGCAAGCCAATTGCAAGAGGTGGGCTCAGGAGGAGTCGGGAGGCCTGGATGCTCAGGGGGGTGCCATGATGCCAGTGGCGCCATTAGATGCATCAGCCACTGAAGGCTGCCCCAGGTGAGCACGTGTCACGGGAGCGAATGTGAAGCACGTCAGCCAAGCAAGCTCAAGTGGTGGTGGGGAGGTGGCTTTCACCATATCAGGGGCATTTTCCCGCCACCCCCAAACTTTCAGGACCCTCAGAGCTGCCACACACTAGTGAACAAAGGCACCCCCGGTTTGTGATTCTCACTCCTTTGCACGAAGGCCTTGCAGGTTGGTTCACACAAGCAGAGGAGCCGTATTTCGAAAGGGATCTGAAAAGGAAAGGAATTGGTGATGTGGATGGAGCGCCTTGTGGGCTTTTATCCCAGGCTGCCATTAAAAGGTGTGTCCCATAGCTGGGGGGGACCCAGAGGGGAGGGGTATGTAGTGCACCTTCTTTGGGGGCCAAATGCACAGATAACGAGGCAGGTTAGGAATGTGTTTAGAAGGTTGATTTGGGGTGAAGGGATGTATTGTTGGTAGCAATTCAGGGGAGAGAGAGAGAGAGAAAGAGAGAGAGAATGGACATCCATGTCTGGGTTGCCTAGCAACCCTCTGCACAGGTAGAACAGGCCCCGCAGAGGCCAAGTAGCCTAGGGTGGTCACCAGAGCAGGGCACCACTGGAAATTGTGGCCATTGCCCGTCAACTACCACTAAACAAGTCCTCAAGGGGCAAGTTCAAAGGGCAATTAGAGTTCCTAACCACCCTGGTTGGAGGGTGGGAATGCTCTTGTGTACATTTTTTTCACACCTGCAGAAATCTTGGCAGCACAGAGATTTTAACACTTGCTTGCCAATGCATGTGCTGATCAGGCTGCTTTCAAAAAGGCACAGCTACGTTTAGCCAGTTGAATATTCAGCAGGGTGGCAGGGTGAGAATCCTGCTTCCTGCGGGTAAAGATAAAGGGACCCCTGACCATTAAGTCCAGTCGTGGCCGACTCTGGGGTTGCGGCGCTCATCTCGCTTTATTGGCTGAGGGAGCCGGCGTACAGCTTCCGGGTCATGTGGCCAGCAGGACTAAGCCGCTTCTGGCAAACCAGAGCAGCGCATGGAAACACTGTTTACCTTCCTGCCGGAGCGGTACCTATTTATCTACTTGCACTGGTTTGCTTTCAAACTGCTAGGTTGGCAGGAGCAGGGACCGAGCAACGGTAGCTTACCCCGTCGCGGGGATTCGAACCACCGACCTTCTGATCGGCAAGTCCTAGGCTCTGTGGTTTAACCCACAGCGCCACCCGCGTTCCTCCTGCAGGTAGATGTACTAAAAAAATCAAGGCATGACGAGTGAGCATCCAGGCAAGTCACTGCACGTGCAGAACAGCTTCAGTTGGCCGGTTCCGTGTGTTTGGAAGGGAAATGTCACTTTTCATGTGTTTGTGTGTGCCCTTAACAATCGATGGGACCACGTGTGTGTTCCATACTTGGATATTTCTGGCCATGTGCAATGTGCTGAGTGAGAATCTGCTGCAAGGCAGGCTGAAGTTCCACTGATGGTGCTGATTTCTTTTATCACAGTGTTGCATAGTGGGAAACTAAACAGCTGACACACACGCACCTCAGCGAGGTGCGAGGAGAGGAAGGTGTCCATATCTTGCTTTCTTTTATCATCTATAGGAGCCTCTGAGCCAAAAGCCACAGAGTTTCACATTCTCTCAAAGCTATTTCCAAGTTAGCACAGAGAATGGAAACCCAGTGGTTAAAAAAACAGCAACAACCACCTGTTTGAAATAATCAGGATTTTTGCAAAATGCAGGACTCTCTTTTGCAACCTGGGAGCTGTAGTCCAGGACATCTGGAGGCTACCAGGTTAAGAAAGACTAATGTAGGATGTATCTTATAGTCTCCTCCCCACAAAACGTTTGTTCTTTACAGCTTACATTTCCCAGTCCACACATGAATCCTCGCTTCATTCAAACAGCCAAGCTTCACTTGAAATAAAAATCTCTGGAACAACCTGCAGGGGAGGTTGCAGAAGCATGTGCAGAGTGCCGGAGCTGCCAGCTTGAATGATCTGCCACAGTTTTCTTGCCAGGGCCAAAATGTTGGGCCAGAGGTTTGAGTCAGGGGCTTTTCTGTGGGTGGGGGGACAGAAATTGTGTCATAATTTAAAGCCTACTTGAGAGCAGAGGAGTCGAGGTTCGTTTTAATTCCAAGTGTTATCCTGTAAATTGTTGTTGAAGACTTCGAGAGAGAGAGAAAGTTTGAATTTATTGTGTAAAGCGTTCAATGTTGTTGGGACCATGAGTATAATTACAGATTTCTTTCTCCTTACAGTTTGTCAGCGTGTTCTTTCTGGTGCAGTGAGGGTGGGGGGAGAGGTGGTTTTTGCCTGTTTTCTACCTATTTCACATGTTCTTCATCTTAACAAGGCAATTGACATATTTAAGTTTTCTCTCTCGTGGGGGTAGAAGGGGGGGGTCACTTTGGTTCCTGATGCATTAATTTCTCAAAAGACAAGACAAAACCCATGTTCTGTCATTCGTCCAATGTGCCCCCCCCCATCATAAAATCCAGTTGGAGTGTTTCTTCATCTCCCCTATTATTTTATTTATTTATTACATATATGCTCTACCTTTTCCCTCCAGGGAGCTCAAGGTGGCAGACATGGTTCTCCCCCCTCAATTAATCTTCACGACAACGCTGTGATGAAAGGCAGTGACTGGCCCTCAAGGTCAACCTAGTGGGCTACATGGCCGAGGCGAGATTTGAACCCTGGTCCCCCAGACCCTATTCCAGCATGCCCTAACCACTACACCAGAACGGAGCTCAAGCTGCCTTGGAGGCTACATGATAGTACAGACAGAAGAGTCTCAGGCCTGGTTCCCAAAAACCTGTTCCAGAGGCTGAACATCAGCTCAAAACACTTTTTAAAAGCGATTTCATGAAGAATATCCTAGGAGGCATACTGAAAATACATTAAGCCAGCCTCATGCAACAGGTTCAGCAGTGCTGGGGGGCTTTAAAAAGTCTTCTTTTGGAAAATGGTGCAAGTCAAAGATAAGTACACTTCAAAAAAGCAAGCCTCCCTTGATTTGGTACATTTTCTCTCTAGCATCTAGAAAATAATAATATTTATTTATATCCCGCCCTCCCCAGCTGAAGCCGGGCTCAGAGCGGCTAACAACAGTAAAAATAACACAGTTTGCATAAAATCACAATTAATTAAAATACATTCTAAAATCAATTCAGAATCAAATTAATGGCAACCATTGGGCTAGAGTTCTATGAGGATTACAGAAGGAGAGAGGGGGTCAGACTGCGCCTTGGCCAAAGGCCTGGTGGAAGAGCTCTGTCTTGCAGGCCCTGCGGAAAGATATCAAGTCCCGCAGGGCCCTAGTCTCTTGTGACAGAGCGTTCCACCAGATCGGGGCCACAGCCGAAAAGGCCCTGGCTCTGGTTGAGGCCAGGCTAACCTCCCTGTGGCCCAGGACCTCCAAGATATTATTTGTGGACTGTAAGGTCCTCCGTGGGGAATACCAGGAGAGGCAGTCCCGTAATACGAGGGTCCTAGGCCGCATAGGGCTTTAAAGGTTAAAACCAGCACCTTAAACCTGACCCTGTACTCCACCGGGAGCCAGCGCAGTTGGTATAGCACTGGGTGAATGTGATCTCGCAGCGAGGACCCCGTTAGGAGTCTTGCCACGGCATTCTGCACCCGCTGGAGTTTCTGGGTCAGTCTCAAGGGCAGCCCCACGTAGAGTGAGTTACAATGTGTGAGAGTGCAGCCTAGATGTGGTTGGAGTACGGCTCCCACCTTCCTCATTCTGCACTTGGCAGTTTAACCATTACGCCATGCTGGCTCTGTAGTCCAGAACTGGAGGGGCACCAGGTTGCTGGCGGATGAATGCCTCTGCCTTCTTCAGGGCCTCCTGATTAACTCTTGGCCACAATCTCTACCCTGCAAACACTAGGATTTCTGATGGAAGTTCAACATGCCTGCGCAGTACAGGCCTATCGTGCCCTCTGGTGGCCATAATTAATTTAACATTGCCACCTATGTTACGCTCCTGCCTTGCTCACTTTTAAGCTGGGGCATACCTACAGGTTGGATAGGTCCGCCCCCGCCAAGGGCACAGGCCTGGGGTGGGTGCAAAAGTCACCTCTCTCCACTCTGGCTTGCAGTGGCTAGAAGCACACCTGCTCTTCTGCTGTTCTGGGTAGCCAACATCTTGCCAAGGGCACAAGGGAGTCTAGGTATGTTAAGTATAATCAGTTTAATGGACACAGAAATGAAAATCTATGTGTAGTAATGAAGGTTTAAAATGGAAAATGGCTAAAGGTATATTGCAGAAGTTTTAACACAGGGATTTTCCATGGGGCAGTGGAAGACAGGAGTGCCTGGTGTGCTCTGGTTCATGGGGTCACAAAGAGTCGGACACGACTAAATGACTAAACAACAACATATTAAAGGCAAGGAGAGCACTCTGAGCTCTTGCTGAGCTGATAATTAACTAACTGGTTGTTGATCTCTAGTAGTTAACACATGAGTGTTGTAACCTTAGATCATGGGATGAAGGTATTGGGTTGCCAATCTCCATTTTGAAGGGAGTAGCCTTTGAGTCTTTGTCTCCTAAACTCCATGGAGTGAAAATGAAGTCCTCCTGAGAGGAAACAGCCTAAGGCCAATGGAGGCTGGAAAGCAGGCTGTAGTAGAAAGATCTCTCTGCTTCTAGGTCTCTTTGGAATATTTCATATTCTTTAAGATGCTGAGCCTGTGCTGGACAGCACAATACATTGTATGGATATTTTTGATGTTTTAATTCTGCTGTGAAGAAAGTACTAGTAAAATTTGAATAATATCTTTATGGGTCTTGGTAATATTTCATTCCAAAAGGAGTCATTTTTCATGCATCTATCTAGTCACTTCAAACTGCACAATATTAATATCTGCAATAAGGTATGTTCTCTGTTCTTAAGGCCAGCTGAAATGACCCGCTTCCGTTTGTGATCTGCCAAGAGAGTGAGTTGAGTTGGCCTGAACACTTGAAGACTGGTCCCTTTGCTTGCAACGGAGAACACTGTGACCATTTCCTAAAATCGCAGCCCTCCCAAGGCTAAGGCAGGATCTCTTCCCTGCTTCTTCCTTCAGTGCCCATAGTCACTGCACTGTTTCATGGGAGAGGATCCTGAAGTTACTGTATGCAAAGAGCCTCCCAGAATTACAGAGGGGTTTATCATGCTCAGTGTTTCTTGCAGGTTTTTGAAAGGGACTTTCCCCCCAGCCCAGCCCAGGGTTCAAACTTGGCACTGTCTTCTTGCAAAGTGCCTTGCCACTGAGTTACGGAAAATCGTGCAACTGGACCTGGGCAGATCTGCATTAAAACGGCCCATGCATCTTCCTGCAAACCCTGGAAGATTCTTTTCAGCATTAAAAATGTAGAGAGTGCAGTTATTGAGGGGGTGGGGTGTCACAAGGCCAAAGTAGACTACTGAGGGGGCTTGGCAAATAGAGGCAAAGGAAGCAGAGGGAGGGAGAGGAGCCTGTAGCCTTCCAGAAACTGCTGAACTACAACTCACTGGAGGTTTTTAAACAGAGACTGGATGACCAGCTGTCAGGGATTCTTTAGGTTTGATTCCTGCTATCACGGGTTGGACTAGATGACCCCTAGGGTCCTCCCAGCTCTACACTTCTGTGATTCTAAGAAGTCCCTGACAGGAATTGGGGGCTAAGCAAATGCAGGGCCACAGGCTCCTAATCTCTTCTTTTGTTATTTCAGAGTGGGGTTGTATCCAGTGCTAGCCCTATACCAGGCAGACCCATTGAATTAATAATAATAATAATAATAATAATAATAATAATAATAATAATTTATTATTTATACCCCGCCCATCTGGCTGGGTTTCCCCGGCCACTCTGGGCAGCTCCAAACAAAATATTAAAATACAGTGGTCTGTTAAACATTAAAAGCTTCCCTAAACAGGGCTGCCTTCAGATGTCTAAAAGTCTGGTAGTTGTTCTTCTCTTTGACATCTGGTGGGAGGGAGTTCCACAGGGCGGGCACCACTACCGAGAAGACCCTCTGCCTGGTTTCCTGTAACTTGGCTTCTCACAGTGAGGGAACTGCCAGAAGGCCCTTGGCGCAGGACCTCAGTGTCTGGGCTGAACAATGGGGATGGAGACGCTCCTTCAGGTATACAGGACCAAGGCTGTTTAGGGCTTTAAAGGTCAACACCAACACTTTGAATTGTGCTCGGAAATGTACTGGGGAGCCAATGTTGATCTTTGAAGACCGGTGTTATGTGGTCTCAGCAGCCACTCCCAGTCACCAGTCTAGCTGCCATATTCTGGATTAGTTGTAGTTTCCAGGTCACCTTCAAAGGTAGCCCCATGTAGAGTGCATTGCAGTAGTCCAAGCGGGAGATAACTAGAGCATGCACCACTCTTGCAAGACAGTATGTGGGCAGGGAGTGTCTCAGCCTGTGTACCAGATGGAGCTGGTAAACAGCTACCCTGGACACAGAATTGACCTGCGCCTCCATGGACAGCTGTGAGTTCAAAATGACTCCCAGGCTGCACACCTGGTCCTTCAGGGGCACAGTTACTGCATTCAGGACCAGGGAGGCCTCCACACCTGCCCGCCTCCTGTCCCCCCAAAAGAGTACTTCTGTCTTGTGAGGATTCAACCTCAATCTGTTAGCCGCCATCCATCCTCCAACCGCCGCTAACCACCTCCAGGGATCCAAATGGTCCAGGCATGCTTGGAGTTGTTCAGCAACCACCTGCTCAATCACCTTGCCCAAGAATGGAAGATTTGAGACTGGGCTATAGTTGGCCATATTGGCTGGGTCTAGAGATGTTTTTTTTAAGAAATGATTTAATGACCGCCTCTTTCAGCAGATCTGGGAAGGCTCCCTCACAGAGAGAGGCATTCACCACCCCACGAAGCCCATCACCCTGCCCTTGCCAGCTAGCTTTCATAAGCCAGGATGGGCAAGGATCAAGGAGACAGGTGGTCGGTTTCACTCGTCCAAGCAGCCTGTCCACATCCTCGGAGGTAACAGATTGGAATTGATCCCATGCAACTTTAAATGGGCATGGGTAACATAGACCCATTAATTTAAATGAGTCTGCTCTGGGAAAAGCGTGGCTGTGAACTGTTGTGATCAAGACCACGTTTGCACAATTACACAGAAAAAACAGGCAGCTGAAAGATACTATTGCTGTGAGTTCTTGTGTTACAGTTTTATGTGTGTGCATGCAATTTGGCAAAGCAGGAGCCCTTCATGGGCACTACTAGGTTCCTGGGGTTCTTTTGGCTAACCATTGTACA